CATGTTCTTCTTCTCCAACATGGCATTTAGCAGTATGCCCATCTTCCTCCCTACTATTCTAACCCACATGGGACATTCCGCCTCCACCTCCCAAGCCCTCTCCGCACCCCCCTATCTCCTCTCCTTCCTCTCCGTCCTCCTCACCTCCTACCTCTCCGATAAACTCCGCTCTCGCTCTCCCTTCCTCATCTTCCACGCTCTGCTCTCTTCCCTCGGCTACACCCTCCTCACTCTCCCTCCCCACTTCCTATCCCCCACTCTCCGCTACCTCGCCATCTATCCTGCGTGCGTGGGATTTTTCTCCGTCATCACAATCCTCATCACCTGGACCCTAAATAATCAACCCTCGTCTTCGAGACAAGGGACGGGATTCGCGGTCATGCAGATCGTGGGGCAGTGTGGGCCGCTGGTCGGCACGAGATTGTATCCTGAATCGCAAGCGCCGTTTTATAGAGAGGGCATGGGCGTGTGTGCGGGGGTCATGTTGATAGTAGCGGGTTTGGGACTAGGCTTGAGATGGTGGTTGGGGAGGGAAAATGAGAGGAGTGGGGGAAAATATGGGAGGGTGAGTGGTGAGGAGGGGGAGGGGGAGGGGGAGGGGGAGAGAGGGGCAAATGAAGAGGAGAGGGGTTTGGTGGGGAATGAGAATGGGAAGGGGAAGGGGAAGGGGAGGGGAGGGAAAACGGCGTTTTTGTATATGTTGTGAGATGTGGGGGATACTTTGGATGAGATGAGATGGGTTGATAGTTTAGTTTTGTCTCATTTTGTCTAGTTTATCTATCTACTCTCATTCAAAGGTTTCCTCGTCTCGCTTCGCTCGTCGGAAAAAGCGACGATTAGACTAAGAATGATCTGCTACATCTACCTAATTTGTTAATCTCTAAATAATACTAGATATAAGATATAAAATACTCTTCCACACCACCGATCTCTATATTTAAACTGTAGTGTATCACTTGATGTTTTGTTAATTTTTATGAAATATGTGTATTAACCTTGGAATTGAATACTAGTGGGTTATTGTATGAGATGAGATGAGATGGGATGGGATGAAAAGTAATGGAAGGTGGTTTGTGGGCAGGGAGGTTAAGGGGAGATGAGGGGAGGTTGGGTTTATAGATATAGATATAGATATAGATGTAGATTTTGAAAGAGGAAGAATTAATAGGTTGGGTTTTATGAGAGGAGTTTAACGGTTTGATCTTTGAAATATAGAGTCAGAGCTGGTGAGAGTTGACTTTGTAGCAAGATATTCTCCTGAGAAGTGCATGAAGTGAAGGGGTGGAAGAGTGAAGCGAAGAGAAGGGGAGGGGAGGAAATAGTGGAATCAATAAGATATGTTCTTAAGTTATGTTATGTATGTGTACAAAATCATATATTAAAATGATTCCTAGGGTATCAGACGGAATAAATGCATACGGTACAATGGGTTTATAATGTCGAATAACCTCATTTCAATTCGCTGGCGTAGTATATAATATACTACGACTACTTAAAACACTTCAGTCCGCCCCTCCATCCATATGCAACAAACACATCCATCTCCCCATCTTCGCGCTCTCCTTCTCCCATCCCATCCCATCCCACCACACAATCTATTTCTCATCCCTCACCCTCCCTTCCATCCTCCACCACTTCCTCCTCACATCCCACCACATATCCTCCAGCTCTCTAAAAATTCCCACCCCCTTAATCTCCAACCTCGCCCCTTCCACCAACCATTCCTCCAACTCCATAAAACAGCATATGAAACGCCGTGCTTCTTGTCTCGATCCATTCCGCATATCCCTCGCTCTTCCAACCACATCAGAAGAAGAAACGAGCAGAATTTCCAAGCCAGAAAGTTTCGAAACGAACGGTTTCAAAACCGTTATTGCGGAAGCAAGGATATCTGGATCCATGCGTTCGGATGAAGTAGTCAGTTGTACGTATTTTATTTTCCGCGTTGTGACGCGTCCGAGACGAGCGAGTACGTGATGAGACTAGATTGCAATTTTCATCAGCATCCCTTCCTATACTCTCAACTCATCAGACTCGCTAGAACAATAACCTACCCGTCGCTCATGCGTACACGTCCCATGACACCACGAATTCACACAATGCTGATGTCTCCACGCTCCCTTAACTCTCTCGCTCCATCTCCGACTCTTCTCGTAATCTCTTCTCCGCTGATCGCGCATCTGTTTGCAACATACAGCGCAGTGCAGATCCTCAATGTCAAATACCCAGTACCGTGGTTCGCTATAGTGAGCGATATATTGGAGAATAGCGTAGTCTTCGGATTTGTCTTCGACTTGGCTGGTGCGTTTGCATCCGTTGATGGTGATGTGCATTTTCTTGGGGGACGTCTCGAGGAGATAGTTGAGGACGGAGGATGCGGGGATTTGGGATCGGGTGACTGCGTGGCTTTTTTGGATCGTGGAGGTGGGTGAGGTGGTGCTGGGGAGAGATGGGGGAGTGGGAGTTAGGGAAAACATGTGTGAGTTGGATGATGGATAGCCGAGCATCTGGAGAGTTTTCCGATGGGATATCCCGGAGACCCAGACATCGAGCCCGGGGGTTGCAGGGGATGAATGGGTGGTTTGGATGATGCTGCGACATGGAGATTCTGTTTTGGGGTTTGCTTGGGGGAGAGATTTTGGTGAAGAGCAAGGTTTGATTCGGGCATCTTTGGAGAGGAGAATCTGAGGTGAACTGTGGAATGATGGGGACATCAATATCTTAGGGGTGGAAGACTGTGAAGTGAGGGATTCTTCTGGGTGACTCATGTTGGAGTATTTAGGTAGTTGTGGTTGTGGTTTCAATTGTGGCTCTAGCTGCGGTTGTGAATCTGAGTGTGGTAATTGTAGTGGTATCGGTGATGCTGAATCAAATGTTAGTCTCAGTTGTGACGGTAGTCGTATTCTGAATATTTCAGACAGGCTTATCTTAATTAGGATCTTGATACTGGTAGTAGTGTTAACGTTTCCAGTGGCAGGTCCTCAGTCCTCTAATGATAGACAGCATTATGGCTCATTTACTACAAGCGGTATCAATGGAAGTGCATATTGATAAAGTGACAATCTTTCGTCGCTTGCGGAGAATGGTCGCTTTCCTTGAAATTTGTCTCTTCTGGTCGGTAAGAATTCTCAGATGGGAAGGATAGATGAAAGTGCCACGATGTTCAATAAGGCAAGTACGCATAGTATGTGGTCAATGAGGCCATAAGGTATGCAGTTGTTATATTTCACAAGCAATTTCCATGGAAACCTCGAAGTAAAGTTCTCGGATCTCATTGCTCTTGTTATTTTGAGTTTCATCAATGGAAAAAGTATGGTCTGACTGATTCTCAGAGGCAGGTAGTTTATATACTCATTCTAACCCTAACCCTAAGCAAGTTTAAGTCCTTTGTAGGCTTTAAAAAACTTACTATTATCCTTCCTTACTAGACTCCCGCTCGAAAAATTCCACGTTTCCAAGCGCGTATGAATATTTGAGTGCCAGAAGTTGAGATGGAAATCGCCAGAGGCAACAAGATCGCATTAGCATCACAAGTCAAGCAGCTACCGTTATCTCCTTTTCTTCAAAATATCGAATCGGGAATAGTTCAAGAGCAGCTGCATTATAAAACATTGCGTGACGAGGGTCGCTGCATGGTGTTATCACTCTCTTAGAGCCACAAATCAAGCTTGAACGTGGTTATATATATCGCTCGACGGGCAAGGAGTATATTCAAGAGTGTGCCTGCCGCTATATAGAACTCGATGGTCTTTGCAGCTACACGAGACGTTCTACCAGAAAGTAGAGCCTTTACCGCTGAGATTCTGGATTTTCAAAGTATGATGATATTTGTAAGTGCGGGTACCTAGATGCGAACAGGTGGCGCTAATAACCCCACAACTATAGGGATATAGAGCATTGGAAAGATATTTGCTTGCACAGATTTAATATAATGGATCTAGCAGATTCAATCTTTCGATGAGCCATAAGCCGCTACATCTGAGAGTAAAGTCAGGCGTACAGATTCGATTTTGCAAATGACTTTGTCCAGAGAGGCTCCCGCGCCAATTAGACGCCCCAATCAACCGAAGTTTATGTGGTGCACTGGCAGATTTCTTCACATCTGGAAATCCGAAACCTCATCCATGACATCTCAGCATACGTAGGCTACAAGCATCAACACACAGTAACTGAAGGTCGATAATAATCAGATCATCTACTATGCGGCATTTCTACTTAAGCAAAGTCAACGGCCACTGATCTGTTATAGAAATTATAGAAACATAAAGTTGATATCGCCTTCAAGTCATAACCGTCACATAGACACAATTTGACCAGATAGAGCTAATGAATGTACGATCACATGAATAGTATATGATCTAGGACACACAGTCCAAACAATTCTAATGAAATCATCGATATTGTTCGAAATGAAGTCATATTTATCGATTCGACAGTAGGCATTCCAAAAATTAATTGGATGGAATGGACTGATAGTGCTATTGTTTCTTCATAATGCCAACTAGTTGTAGAGGGAAGAAACATTCTCACACTTTACATCGTACAAACGTTTTCTCAGCTTCTTACGTTCTCCATAAAGATTCTAATAAACACACGTGATTTAGTAGGCCAAACGCTGTGTAAGTAGACGTGCAAAATTTTGTCTTTTAGACTTGCCAATTGTTGTCCTCATCTCCACTTATCCCTTGAAGACGCAAACTCCGAACTACCAAGTTGCAATGATCCGACGATGAATAACAGCAATTGGGAGATTCTACCTGGCACTAACCTAGCCACAGTATTGAAGATGTGTCGACGAAATATGGAACAGACAAAAGCTACCATACAATCATCACTTCCATCCCACATCAAGATTCGCAATGGCCACCACTAATTGAAGAATCATAATCTCATATCATCAGCCGGTCGAATTCTGGCCTATTTTGTAATATTATGACGGGTTGAATACAGTCATGCCAACGCAGCATCCAAAAATGGGAAATCCAATGCCATCGAACCTCAGCCCGCACAGCTGTAAAAAAAAAAACAGTTATGGTCCCCGATGTCTTCGTTGGTAGTCACCTAGGACTATGGCGACTGGACAAATATTTGCGAATAGGAACATAATATGATACCCGTTTAAAGCATTTGGAATGGCTTTAAGTAGGTAGGTAAGCACGGAAGTGGCGTTTTCGTAATCACTACAGCTCATTTGCCAGATAGCTTCAATCAAAGATTCTGTCCTATTTGGGAAATATCTCGGTCATTGGAACGAAGTAAGCAACATATTTATGGATTTACAAACACTTGTTGATACTTGGTTTTTGATTATATAGTGTTCAGAGTAACAATCATCTTTCAAGTGATCCCTGTGGTATCAGGACAAATCCCCTGATTAAGCGATCAAGGGTATGAAGAAGCTTTTGGCCGCCATCACCAATCTTTGCACAGTCGTTTGTTTCCCTTGAATCCTATTGATTTGTTTGAGAACGGTTTGCAATATCATCCTACGTCAGATATTATAGATCCTTTGAGATACATTTTCGCATGAGTGCCACGCCGCACCGCCACATAAGGATTCATGCATAATATCAACTCCGCCCCATACAAGTGAGCATACATTTCGTTGAGCGAGCAGCTACAGCATACTACACATGTTGGCTAAGCTTATCTATTTACGTCTAATCCTATTGTATACTTCCATTCCCATCGAAACAAAACTGTTATGCTGGGTCCCGAGCTCTTTCTTCAACATCAACACGTGGTGGGGCGAGGATTTTGATGGTGGCGCAGGCAGTTTCAAATTTTCATGATCCTACCAAACCGTGGAGCTGGTATCCATCGACACCCAAGAAAGCTGACAGGTAGTAGTAGGAAGTCTTGATTCCAGATCAACGCATTTTAATAGTGTAGCAAGATTCGAGAACGGGGATGGTGCTGACAGAGATAGTGAGCCGTGATGTTTTGATTCATTGCCAGACGTTCCTAAGTAAAGTTGGAACCGCATCAATCATAATGTTACTCCCGAAATCGGATGCGTAAATTTCCAGATTGGCTAACACAATATGAAAGGGCTTGAATACTACAGTCCGTTTCTTTGACGGTTGCATCTTACCTTGGTAGCTAGAAAAATAGCCTTGCGAAATCTCTTCTCAATTCCACCGCTGATTTTCGTAGTATCAGTCCTACGATACAAAAAGATGTTTCGAGGTGTCTAATCTGTTCTGAGTAGCATCTTCTCTGAGCTTTCGAGATGCCCGTATAAAGTCTAGCTATGGATTTCAATAAACTAATCATGAAAAGCATCCTCTTTGGGCAATTCACCAACAATAGTTAGTCGCCGAGGCATACTTACGAGGCAACCACCATGTTAGCCTGCGATCAGTTTATCAGGCCCCGAGTTATATTTGATCTCAATTCCTAAGGCACATGTGTTTCCCAAGTCAACCGTACAAGCCGCCGTGAAGCTCTCACAAGACAACCTCATGATCATAATAATTCTTACTTCAATGCTGTGATGATTCACACTTGTGTTCGTCTGTCATTTTGAGTCACTTAACTTTGAACACTGGAGTTATTGAGCGTGTTGCTGATTCTTGTATACAGAATTGATCGCAACGCAATGTATCTCCGAGAGTGTTGTTCTCGCCTAAGCACCACACCCCTTTCGACTTTAGGCTTCCACCAGGCTACGTCAACTCAACGCCCTGGTATACGTATGCTCACCAGTTACAAGAATGATTTCCTCGGAGCATGGAATGATATTACGACTTTGGTGAGGATGTGAGGAAGGTGCCAGCATCTATCTTCAACAACATAGCTTTCCGCTCCTAACGTCGTGGTATTAGCATAGTCAAGGGGGGGACTTTCTGAGATACCCTTGAAATTGTAACTTCTGCCTATTGAGACTACCTTTACCGTTGTCTTGGAATTCGATCCAAACTGCTGTGGCATCGGGCGCTGCCTACTCCTTGCTCTGATAGCATCACCGGCAGCCGTGGAAGGCTCTAGCTTCAAGAGCGAGGGGCAATTTAACATGATAGTCATCAATAGCATTGAAAGGCTACACATAATCAATTACATAGTGCACAAATTAGCTTGGGCAAATAAGATCTACTTCCAATTTCAAGACAAAAATGGTAGCCCACATATCTGCGGAATCGTTCTACTCTCTAATTATTCTTTCCATGGACCTTCCCCATGTGGGAATGATTTTTGTCGCTCACGATCTTCTTTACTCACCGTCCTTCACAGATACGTCTAAGCTTCAAACTCTAATGTATTTCTTATTTCTACATCGTTACCCTTAACAATCCAATACTTTGCCCCACTAGAGAACGTACACTCGACACTTCTCCGGCTTATTCCCGTCTCACATAGACACACACTTACAGTTTACCTAGCCAGATGCCAATTCAAGGGCCTTATAGTTTCCTACTAACTGGAAAGTAAAGACCCCCTTTAACAAGATGCCAAGCTCATCTTAATCTATCTCCCAATCGACATGACCACGAATACATCATGACTCAATATTATTCGACAACTCATCGCTGGCACTCCATCTCATCTCACTAATTCACTTGCTAATTGACCAACAATACGCTCAGACTTGAACTAAACAAGGTCACATTCATCCCCACATCCATTAGCATGGCATCTCGCCGATTCTACTTTAGTGCCCGTCCCCGCCCAGCCAAGTAATTTCGAAGTTGCAGCTAGCGACGATCTTCCCGGTGCCGCAACTACTCACTGGCGCGAAACTTCTAGTAACTATCTACGACCCTATCGATGCACAGACTTTGAAATTGAAAGATGATTACACCCTTGCAACATTCTTGGCACATCCAAATTCGTGTTATCATTTTCACAACAACTTCGTACAACGGCCATTTCAGGATTTTGGGTTGATGATGGCCCGAAATGATTTTTCAATTGCGGTCGAGCTCCACAGATGATGAGTCCGGGCTAATCATCTCGTCATCTGAGAGTGGGGGCGCGCTATGCAACTACTGTGAGCCCGGTCTGGATCCACTCCCCCAACCCCCACTTAGATACAATACTTGAACTTGCCAACGAAGTTGACCATACGGATGCCTAAGCGTCATCTCCATCGCGATAATCAACCCTAGAAGATCTTGGAATTCCTCGAGGTCTCGCAATATGCCCATCAAATCGAAGGGTTTTGCATCTATCCACATCATCGCTGAAAAGCTGAGACCTTGCCCTTGATTTCATGGGTACCCGCACAAAATTACAAGTAATACTGTCAGTATTGAAGAAAGACATTCTGATGTTAGACATGGTTGGAGTCTCCATCATCATCGACATGATTATCCCTATTCTCGTGTTGTCTTGATGAATAACGAACTGAGACCGTGACCGAGACTTCTCGATTTATGATGGCCGATGTGGCCCGACATAGTAGGAGGTAATATTTCATGTACAACATAAGTACCCTTTTTTGAACTGAGAAAAAAGGGAGCCCATATCCCATTATTGGAACCTTTTCCGTATGCACAAGCGATTCAATCTAACGCTACATTGAGACGAACTCCAAACTTGATTAAATGCTACTGGCGCCCCGATCAATATGAAGTGATGAGAAAGGGAGAAAGCACTAGCTGATAAACCTGAAACTAATACGCCACTTTAATAACCATAGCATTGATTGTACAAACCAGTAGAACACAACAAAAGTGCCACAAGACCACTGCGCAAAGACCCGTTACCCGTAGATATTACCATAAACGTAACTCTACATTTGCATATGCATTGCAGCATGCATGCACACGTACATGAAAAACACTCATTTAGTCACATAGAGTTGCAAACAAGTACCGTGACAGCTTCAACCCACTCAATCTTCAAGTCCAAGGTTCCCCATGTGCGCTTCACCTGACGATATTCCCAATTTCCTCGTTCTGAACCCTTCTTCAATATTCCTTACCTATCTAGAATTCCAAGTAAAAACGGCCCAATCTAGACACTAATTCCGAGTTCATTCATTTCACTATACGCAATACCCAGGGGGTATCCTTCCTGTCTCGGCCCTGCTCCAGCTAATACAAGACAATATAAGTGAACAAGTGAAGAGATTTTTATACATCCCGAGTATTTGTGTATCCCAACCTCCCAGTCTTGTGTTGCGGCCCCAGCCCAGTATCCTCTAATCACCTTTGCTTCCTGTAACCACTCGACCACAATACCGCATCACAACATACCCGAAAGGATCCACTTCCTGTACATACATACCGTACATCGATGTTTCATAGCGTACGATACTAGAAAAAAATGATCCGATTCCCGAGTCTCCGAGTCTATGCTGTATCTTGTACAACCTTTACTGCATATGATGCGCATACCAATGCCTGGATTTCTCTAGTGAATTGTGCTACAAAAATTAAGGTTTGGAAGTGACTTGATCTCATTAGGGGATGCAGTTGCATAACCTCAGTACAGTACACGGTGAAAATTAATGAATAGAAATACAGGACTAGGAGATTTAAAATGCGGTCGTGGTTTTGACCCAAACTGCTGGAAATGCTTTGTTTCCTTTTGACTTGTGGGCCGCTAATCTACACCATTTCATCCCGCGCTGTCTATCTTCGCCGTTCTTGCCAATAGAATTGCTAGTATTTCTGAAGAGCAATATTGTACCGAGATACTCATCGGCATTTCCGAAGCTCAACTACACATGTTAGCCTTTAATTGTCCTCCCGCTTGCTTGCCCCTTCGATTTCCACGGAGGTATATCCGTCGCCTTCAGCACCACAAAATGTATCTGTGCTACTAGACGTCCAATCACTTGTCAAATTCTTGACTGATAATCAGGGATCGCATCTACTAAAGCATAGGGGGAAACTCAAATTGGAAGATCTCGCCCATATCATTTATATGATGGCAGGATTTGGCGGCGTAAATAAGACATTGAGATCGCGAGATCTTCAAGAAGAATTAGGTTCTAGACACACATGTCGGTCAAGGTTAGTGTGATCGTACAAAGATCACGGGACTATTGCAGATTGAGTTTGAACCAACCCTTGGATCTGGAGTCAGAGATCTTCCATCAGGGTACAGGTATGTTGAAAGCATTTAGAAGGAAGTGATGCTTGTCACGGTCAATTCCCATGTGATCTTCGCACCAGAAGTAAGCCAATATGAAACAAGCTTCATTTACCTTGAAAAAACAAAAAAGGCCTCAGGGTGGATATGATGTAAAGATCTTTTATTAAGAATTAAGTAACGCAAGGCCTACAACCAATTAAAATGCCTAGGCAGTATATAGTAGATAGATAGATAGTAAAATAAATTTATTCTTTCATCTCATCTCATCTCATCTCGTCGATCTCCTCGTCATTCCCCATCTAATCCATACTCAACTCTCTACCGAGCGAGATCTCTCATTCCCTTCCCATTAAGATCTCGCGATACCATACAGATGTGTACCCCGTAATTCCACAAAAATCAAAACCTTGCTTTAGTCCAAATCACGCAAAATGTACCCAGCACATCCATCCGACCCTCCCAAACCAAGCCACATCAGAACCCAAACAAAAGAATGAAAAACACGTATTTTTTGGTGACCGAACAACTCCTCTCCTATGCGAACCTATAATGCCCCACTGCGGCTTGGCCCCTACCGCCAGTGTGTCCAGTCCAATACAAATGGAAGATGATTGACCCGCTAGCTATGTAAACCCCGAATGACAAATAAAACGTAAAGGAAACTGATGTAAATGAAAGGAAAACAAATTGATGTCTCAACTAACTTGACGGAGTCGCTCAAATGGTATCTAGTAACGATGCAGATATATTTCTCCTCAACACCTCTGCTACGCAGAAGAATGCAAAGCAAATCAAAGCAGGCTAAGTAGTAATAGACAAATTGTAAAGAAACCAGAAGACTGAAGATCTGTTCTGGCTAGATCGGAGATAAAGCGGCAGCGAAGAGAGACCGTGACAAATCTGCAAGCCCACCCTCTTGTCGTAAAACGCTGACTGTGGAGCGATAAAGTCGATCTATCGATGGTCCTTCAAAGTAATGATAACCCGTTATTAACGAGAACACAGAGTTACGCATGGGCGTTCTTGTGTCCAATTTATCGTAGAGTATGGTGTATTGGCCAATCCACGCGAAATAGGCTAAAATCCGTGATGCTCGGGAGTTATTTCCATGCAAGCAATATGCACAATGCAATGCGAGCTGTGCATACTTCTCCAAATCGTGCAAGGATATGCCAAGCAAGCAAGGGTAGATTCCATAGCTAGGGATGGCATCCAAGATAGGTAGGCAGGTCTTGCTCATTTGATATGTGTGCCAGTGATGATGCCATATGATGCTATGAAACAAGATCTTTTCGGAATGCCAGAAAAGCCATCGAATAAAGCACATGTAGCACTGATACGAATAAGAAGTCCAAAGCAAGAAAACAGGGGAAAATAACGCAAGGTAAGTGGCCAAAGGGAATATTGGTATATGCTAGTACGATAAGATGCAGTAGATAGCAACTGGATTGATAAACGCCACACCACCAATGATTTTTAATAAGTCCTGCCAGAGCCATCCCCGTTTCGCCCCTTCCCATCCAGAAAAAACATACGCAATGAAGTCTAAATTAAGTATTGAGAGAATATTCGAACCTGGGTGTGGTAGTGTCGTAGTGCATCAGGTGATACACGAGTAAGATAGATAAGTAATCTGAAGATAGATAGTCATGCATGTAAACAGTAAGAAACAAGAAAATAAGCGGGTGGCGGTAACATGGTAGTATGGTGGCTGTGTTATAGAATAAAGATGATCGCGTAGAGTGGGATGAATGGATTGGAAGAGGGTGTGGAGGATGAATGTAGCCATCAGAGGATCCAGCCGTATATCGATATATAGTATAGTCGTAATAGGTAACAAGGTAGTAGAATTGTGGCAGTTGTAGGAAGTAGTGGATATTAAAGTCGTAACGAGCCATGGTAGTATGCTTAGATCCATCGAAAGCAACGAATAAACAAAAGTGTTTCGTGAGACGCAAGTCGCTTAGAGAAGCAAGTATAACGACAAAACAACCAAGATGTATCTTTGTATGCCTTGAATGTAGATAATAGTCGTTTCGAAGGTAATGGCTATGTTGATAGGTCGCTTTGTCGATTAGAGATAAATTGATGTGCAGCAAGGGTTGTCATGGTGGTAGTGCATGGATTTGTGCAAGGTATGTTGATGCATGAATGTGCATGTGAGGGTAATACGAGATAACTTCTGCCGAATGAGCATCCATCATCTCGCACTAACCCGCTTTCATACCCCATGTTGAGAGAGAAACACCACCCCATGACCAATGGATTCCATCGCTCGAAAAACGGTAGAGAAAGAATGAAAAAGCACCACAGCACAAGACACCCACTCAAGGCTCTCATAATACACACCCACGGAATCCCAGGTTCCCTATCAGATGTGATGCAATGAGCCCATAATTTGGCTTCATCAGCTTACACCTCTCATCCAATAGGACCGCGCAATCGATTCACGATTCAAGTACGCGGTATCTGCTGACTCTGCTGTTGATGTTGAAGCGAAGATAAAGCGCGATTTCCATTACCCCCACCAGCCATTGAAGCATCTACAACGTTTCTCGGCGTCTGATGTTGTTGACCTTGACCTTGATAATCAACCCCTGTACCCGAAGTGCCGGCGGCAGTCGCGGAACTATTTTCAAGATAATTCGACAAGTCCCATGAGCCTCTAGCGCTTGCTGCTACGGCTGCCGCATTTCCAAGTTGTGCTTGATATTGTTGTTGTGGTGTAGGCATGTGATGTGCAGTTCCTTGTGGCCAATGACTCGATTCTTGTGCACCATGTGGTACTGCGATTCTTAAATCGGGGGGACCACCCTGGTACCCTATGGATTTTTGACTTTGCGGTGAAATTGCTCTTTGTGCGGGCATGTTGGAATTGTAAGATGTAGAAGTTGTTGATCCTGATATTGATCGGGGTGAGATTCCTCCATGATGATCACTTGTGTACGGTAAGCCTGCAGACGAAGCTTCCGCAGCGTAACCAGTGGAGCTAACAGGTGTCAGAAGGGCAGGAGCATGTGTGGGTGGAAGAGTTGAAGCAGGACTGGCGGACTACAAATCATTGTTAGTATTGAGTGCGGACCCAGAATTAAATATATCGTGATGTGAGCTTACATATTTGCTGATAATCTTCTTCAAAGCGGGACCTAAATCCTTCCAGTGAAAGACCTTGACGTCCTTTTCAATGTTACGAGGCTTGGGGTTAGGGAACGCCATGATGACTTTGAAAAATTCCTCGCTGTCAGGCTTTCCTTTGGATACAGTTGCAGGTCGGAACCCTTCCAGATTTCTCCGTATCCTGTTCTTTTCCTCCACTGTAAACTTTGCCGCGACTAGTGATTCCAGTAGAGTAATAGTATCCACGCTTGTGACATAACAATCATTCTTTTCTTCCCAGTATATGCAGCTGATCACAACGGATTGAGGCGGTCGTTCATCGGCTGATATAGCGTTGAAAGTTGTCGTAATCGTGCAACCAGATTGTGATCGTTTGAATTGAACAAGTCGCCTCTTTGATTCCCATTCTTCTGCAGTCCAATTATTTACCATCATATCACCTAAATCTCCACTAATCTCCAATTTCGCCTTATTTGCGTACATTGGGTAAGGATTGTACGTGTGGCCTGCATGAGGTGTGGCACCCGGACTTGAGGATTGCAAGGTCGAAGTTCTTATCAAGGCTGGGTTGCCAGGAGATGGCAAGGATGACATATTTGATCGATGCATTGAGTTGGATGGCAATCCAGGGCTTCGCGCCATGCTCGAACCAATCGTTGCGTAGCCAGAATTCCAGGATGATACGTGCGGAGAATGAGCTTTTAGGGTGGGTGGCGACGCTGTTGAAGAACTTCCATATCCATAGCCCATATTTCTAGGCGCTGACTGGGTTGTTGAGTAGGCACCGGATCTATTGTACTGAGGCATCATGTTGCTGTAGGCAGAACTTGCTTGAAGATATGGTGAGTAAGAAGATGGCGAGCCATCACTTGAAGAGAATGCATAAGGAAATTCCTCCTTTGGCTTCAGCTGTTGGGAGTTACGTTTGGGGGGGCTCCTCATCAATTCCGCGGATTCAGTCGAGATTTTCCTCTTCCTCGTTCCCTCGAGTGAGTGTACATCGCTTTCGAAAGTGAAATCTCCGACATCCACCTTGGAAATAACATCTCCATCGCCTTCCATGAACATTGACACTGGTACTCGAGAAGAGGACCAATTTGTAGATGCGAATTGAGGGACTTCACAGGTCACAATATAGTTGCAAACCCCTCCTGACTGATTCATTTTTCTTACTGAAGCCTGGCATTTTTGTTGTCCAAACACCAAATAAAAGGTCGGCGAGTTTGAGGTTAATAGCTCGTACAAAGTAGTTACGTAGACGCTCACTGGAGTACCCTGACTTCCCCGCTGGGGGGAGAACGATGTAACTTCGGGTATCGGCGTAGACCCAACATTCAAGTAAGGTCCCGATTGCTCATCGTAAGTAGTACGTGTGCTACCCGATCCATAACCTAGCGGAGTCATCTGCCCGGCATTGTGGTAGACTGATGCCGGAGTAGATGTTGGAATCGAAGACTGCGTCCCATATGAAGGGGTCTGATATGGGAATGCATTCTCTGGATAGGATCGAGCAGTTTCGTAGCCTACTTGAAAGTTAGTGATTTCAATGTTCGCATAGCTATTAGTCAAGGGATAAAGCCGTTCTTCGCTGCACTAACCATGAAGCTGTGGCGGTTGCGGCTTCCCGTAGGCAGACATTGACAGGATATCTGTCGGGGAATCCGCCCGGGGCACAAGGGCTCCCTCGTACCCTCCTTCGTGTAAGGCTGTAGTCTCTGGTGATGGATAAGTTTCGTCAATTATTATCGGTCTACCAGAAGATAGGTGTTCGGACTGTATGGAAAGCATTGTATTAGCAGGAAGAATATCTTTAACAGTGTGAAGTCTTGGAATACACGTACGTCGAACAAGGTGTAAGTTGAGTAGGCCAGTTTGGCGGTGGGGGAGGAGTAAGGCTAAAAGATGCTATCAAACACCACAAGAACGCTGAGCAGAAGCTTCTATGAATTGAGAAGTTCTACTATTGATTATCGAGAATATTGTAGAAGGCTGGGTCCATGGAAATTGTAGAAATCTTAAAAGTGATGAGGTTGTGAAGAAGAGCGAGAACTTGAGTGTTGTTACGCTGCGTATCTATATGAAGATTCGAGGAAATGGATGATAATCGGTCAGAGAACTGTCGATAGAAGTGGAGTATCTTGAAAGATAGACTTAGGTGACAAAGTATTGGGTGGATAGTGGTAGTCTGTTAGATAGATCTTGGTACCGTACCCTAGATCTCTTAGGTAGAGTGGCTCCTTTTCTGTTTCCGTTATTGGGAAGAATTAAAGTTCGATCGACAACGACTTAAAACGATTAATGATGAGATGCCGAGTTTAAGTAATAGAACTTGAGTAGAACAGGCTAGTCGACGAAATAGTTTCAGAGCTGAATGCTTTTTCAACAACGCTTGTTTTCCAAAGATCTTGACTAGCGATCTCAAGTTCCCGCGCTCTAGAAATAACTAGGGCAGAGGCGTAAATCGTCTGAACAAGGTCTCGGGAGCGTGAAACTAAAATAGTAAGTGTCGATAACGATTCTAAAGGAAACTCTGTGGGTCAATCAGCCGGAGTAACTTTACAAATGATGAAGAGAACAACAGTATTCTCAAGATGGCTTGACGAGGGGCGTTCATAGCTTTTAGTCGCATTCATAGTGAGGGGAGGGTGCAGGCACGTACCGGACAAAGAATTTGAAGTTTCTTGGATGCTCGATAGGATTTACGGATTGCCAGAAGATATGCAGCCACCCGAATGGTCGAACCTTTTAACTGAACCTGTTCGTTGCGAGGCAAATGTCAGTATTCGTATATCAGAAGCATGCCGTCATGATGGATGTGCTGGTGACAAGTTGTTAAGAAAGGTGGTGTAGTGGTGAGTAGGTAGTAAGTAGCATGTGCACATCGACGAGTGTATACCAAGGGTAGAACGATCGCCTAGTGGTAAGGTTGCGTGGTGATTGAGGTGGAGGTTATGAATTCACCATCCTAGTCCCGTATATAGAATAGCACATATGACTTCCCAGGTGCAAGGATGAGGATGGTGTGAAAATAAGAATAAAATAAAAAGGGTAAAGCGTGAGATACATACAAATGGTGGGTCTAGAAGGCACTTGCAGGTTTTATGAGTAACTTAAAGTAACTTGTACTGGGCAAAGAAGAATGGCAGTAGTCCGCTAAAAAGGTAAAGCGTGCGTGTGGCCTTTTTCTTGATTGCTCAGATCTCGTGTATGGTGCAGAGGCGGCTGATGGATGGCTGATCTGCTGAATGTGGTCACACCAATTTCAACGATTCAGGAAAATGCTTCAAAACGCCTGGAAAAGGCTGGGCCAAATCAAGGGCTTTCTAACTGGTTTCTTTACTCTCCACGGAAGAGAACGCGATCAGGTCCGTTGACCGGATTCTCGCTCTAGTTTCGAACTTTGATATACTATTTTCCGGCTCTAAATTTTATCCGATTGTGTATTGTATAAATCAATAAAACGGTTGACGTGTTGTTTGGGATGAAAATGGAGGCTTCGAACGGCAGGATTCGGATACAGGCTAGACACGTTCTTGATATGGGTAGTTGAGTGTGGCTGTTGCCTTCAGAGGATTTGGAATGAGGCACTGATGCTTCGTTGACTCCGAGTCCGGCAAAGAGAACTTTGTAAAGGTTGAGAATATGCGGTCGGTATTTTGGTGCAATGCTGCGCAGCTTTGGGTGCTTGCTGAAGTCTTGAAACTATAGGTTAAGGTGTAGCGGGGGGGGGGAAAGGGCTGATTTGAATTTTAAAGGCTGTGAAAAAAGATATCTTCTTAACGCAGAAAGGAATATATCTAAATGGTATGATGTAGTAAAGAGCGTGTCGGAAGTGAAGTGGTAGTGATCACCAATTAGTATTTTATCGAAAGGTTGAATTTGACGAGCGAGATATGAAAGATGCGAAGTATGCAAAGTATGCAAAGTATGCAAAGCCTTTTCTTATTTTAGAAAAAAAAAAAGAAACCAAAAAACGTCGAAATTTGTGCATATGTGTAGAAGACCGAGGTAGACAGTAGAGGATCAGAGTAGGAACATTAGAGTTTGTCTGAGAGCTTTTCTCGAATTCGATGCTGACTTCGAATATGGATTGGGTAAGGGAGAAGAGTAGTGTTGTTGTTTGAACTGAGATGTAGGATGAGTACTAAATCTATGACATGCATTCCCTGATGGAGGGGATAACGAATACGTTTTCCTGCATACGACCAGGTTTCTCTCTAGGAGGAGGAGTAAAGACGTGGAGTAGACCTGGGACCAAGAAAAGTGATGATGTCCTTTCCTTCGGTTTGAGGAATTTGAAGGCCAAGGTCAAATCTAATCGGGTTTTGTCGTGTGCTTCATTCGATGAAAGTAGATATCGATACTGTAGGTCGGCGACTGCGGCTGGAATTGATGATGAGATCGAAATGTGAATTGTACTGTATGCCGATTTGTTCAGAATGTGGAGAGGGAGGCTTTCGACATCCAGCTTGGGATTAGATTGAACAGAACTTGCTTGCTTTTTTTTTTTTCTTCTCTTTTCTTTCCTTTCTTTTCTTTTTCTTTGTTCTTGGAATCTTGGTGGTATGAATGAATTTAAAAAAAAAATATAAAAAAATAAAAAAAATTGATAATTAATATGATTTATTATTTAATTTTGAGCAAGAAAAAAAAAAGACTGGTACACGATTTACAGGAAAAACAATGGTGTACCAAAAAGTCCCATGATATGATGGGAATGTAAATGACGGAACTTTACTCTAAGAGGCGGTGACATTTTTCCCTAGGGAGGTAGTGTAGTGTGGGTGGAATGAAGACAAGCCGACAAGGAAAGCAAGCCCACTCACGCTCAGGGTTACAACTTACAAGTTCGAATAGAATTCTAAAGAGGACCCTTGCTCGGGAAAGGATTATGCTTTGGGTATAGGAGAATTTCCGCTTTTCGGATGAGTTTCCTCTTTCTCACAAGTCCCTGTCGAAAAGATCTTTTTATTTTCCGGGTGATGGTTCTATGACAAGGGTCATGGAAATTTCGAAAAGGAACTTTTACCTGACATTTTCCAGCTTGGCCACTTGATAGAAGGATTTCGGTTCTCAACTCTACATGGAATAGATCCACGGGTGAGATGGATGGCCGCGAGATGAGATGTTATTGTCGTCGTACAACGTGCCTAGGTCGTAGGTCCCCCTGCTAGGCCCATCGATTCAATTGCGGCGAAGCTATTTAGTGGATCAAATAGGGCCACGACTAATATAAAAATAGTGACAACTTAGAAGCTTTTCTGTCTCGACGCTGCGTATAAGCCTTTTGAAAGCCAATGACAAGTTGAGGGATCCCTTCTGACTCCCTAGAGCTCTACCCTGTAAACTCTGTTTTCTTCCCTGAGCTTCCCTTGCTTCCCTTGCTTCCCTTGCTTCCCTTGCTTCCCTTGCTTGGAAGCTATTTAGAAGCCACGGGTACAAGAGAATCCACTGTCCGGAATCCCCCAGAACCTTGAAATAATACACTTCTCCTCCGCTTTCGTAGAATAATCGAATGAGATGCATAGGAATTGTATAGTAGAAAGATAGTAGTAGAACGAAAATCGAATTGAGGGGCAGTCGTTTCACACTTTATTTCGTTTCCAATCAGGGCTCAGGAATAATTCCTTTTTACTTGGGTCGATGGAAGGGAAGGGGTATTTTCGGTTGACCAAATGATGTTTAATTTTGTTCTCAGCATAATAATAAGTTAACACAAACAAGTACAATCAAAATCAATAGCCTTATTACTCTTCACTATTGCCGTCTACACGTATGTACATTGTTTTCATCTAATCATAGTGATTCAATTCTCTACTACATTTGACATATCTTACACACCTTCATCATATTCCACATGACGACTCGTGGGAAATTCAAGGAGTGTAATAAGTACCTATCAGTCAGTGTATGTAGGTAGTAAATACTTAAAGTCCGCGCAAAAGCCCACGTAATTCCACTTATTACACTATTCAGCGCTGTACGAAGAAATTATCATCTGCCCTTGGGCAACTTGCATCTTGCATCTTGCATACAATGCTTGCATAAATGAGCGTCACTAGACTTTGTACAGACAGTACAGTACAAAAGCACCCTTCATTAATATCCATGCTTGGCCAATTGTGAAACTTATCCCCTTCCTGTGCTCGGCACTTGGGAAGATCATTCATTTATCTGAGAGACTACTTTGCTACCTTGTTAATAAATAACTCATCCCTGGCTATCAATTCCCATTTTTCGATATCGCACCTCGGGTCTATCGATTACTATCTAAGTCCGACGATCTCATCATCTGGATCCGATTTTAGCTTCTGGTGAGCTCATCGGAATCGTCAATCTGAACTTCATTTGCTGTTCTCTCCCGTAGCGCTGGGTCTGCTTACTATCGGTCGTGGTATAGGTATAGACAATCCCCTCGGAATAGACGCTAATACCCAGAAAGTTTTTGCGCAATATTGTACAGCAGCTCGAGTTTTTCGACATATTCTCCTCCTGGCAACACAAGCACAAATGACCACTTCGTCGGAGAAACATCTACTGCCCCTTCTCTGGTCGTTTTCATCGCTTTCGTCGGGTTCGGTCCAGAGCTGGTAAGGCCGGCGGGATGGGCGTGGGAGGCTCGACTCTTTCAGGAATTGATGGCTGTCACTTCTCACGCTGAAATGCTTGGAGCGAGAACTGGTGTTCTAAGAGGCAATATTACTGCTGAACTATCTGATCACAAAGTGGACTTTCCCGACCAAGTTTAGATGGTTCTAATTGAGATTTTTGATGAATACATTGTCCATCATCAGTGTAGTTGAAGCTACCCTTAATGATGAATAGGCGTTGGGGTTTTAGTTGACGAATCACGGCAGCAGTGTAAAGTTGCTGCAGACAAAAGATCGACACTTGGATGTTCGGGAGTGTCATAATGTTAGATGACCTGAGCGAGTGCTATGCCTAGGTAGGTGTGCATATTGTGCATGTTAAACAGGGCTAGAAGAGTAGGGTCACTAAACACTGGGACGCCACAAACGACAGGCCTATTCGGAAAGGAAATCCGAATTCTCATTTCAACAAACAATACGTACCTCTTTTCCCTTTTTGTGCCCGGTGTAGCCAGATTGATATTCTGACTCTTTCCTTATTGAGTTAAAGAGCTGGGATAGATACTGGGGATTTCATATCGACTGTTGCTCAACCACGGAAAGCTTTTCGCAACCTTACGAGAAAACCGCAAGCCTCCCGTCGTGACCGCCGTCGGAGCACAGATTACAATCGTATTCACCGCTGCTGTGAAATCAAAGAAAGGGAGGAATAACTACATTACCCCGTATTTTAGTCGTCCTAATACTGCAGTGCTTTCTCTTCTTCGTCCCACTCACGTAGATTTACTTTTTTTCTTCTTTTTTTTTTCTTTTTTTTCTTTCTTTCTTGGGCTGTCCAAAGGAAGCAAAGAGGAATGCGTATTACAATGATCAAAATACCTGCGACCGCCTCTTCAATCCTCGTAACTCGTTATCCATATACCTAACCTGAGTTATTTCGTCTGTTATTCAATCATGTAAACTATTAATAGAAGGAGAACCATCACAGCAAATAGCTCGATCTTTGCGGTGAAATTATGAAAGTATAATAATTGATATATTTTCTGACATAATAATGAGAGAACTGACCAGATCATGCGGAGATTCTCCCAAAGTAACCCCGAACTAATCCTAGTCAAGTAGTAAATTCAGGAGATGTGGATGATGCTCCCCTTTGGTCGTTTAGATAACTGAATTGTACGAGTGGATGAACACCCTTGATATCAGTCGTGGCTGTGCTTGTTTTGAAATAATTGACTCCTGTCGTGTGGTTGAATAGATGGGATTGGGCAGCTGCTTATAGATATCAAGCATTACAAGGGGAAAAGAGTACTAGGACGTGATTAGTCATAAAAAATACTTAGATGTGAAATAGAAGAGAAATGAAAGGCTGCTTTTACATGAAGAAAAAAAGATCCCAATCTTACCTCCTGTTCGTATGAAGCGATCAACAATCTAAGTAGAAATGTTGTCATCTGGGACGTAAAGTTCATCTGCCCAGTTTCATATATTCCGTTTCAAGGGAGTATCATCTTGCCAAAGAATGTTCCCTCGCTCCTATCAAATTTCAGAATGGATAATTTACTCTGTTCTCTATCCATCAAGCCGATCTCTAAAGTGGCAACAAAATAGCGCTTTTCACATAAGAATATCAAAATGCAGCCACTATCACGGTACTCAACTTATCTTTCTATTACTTCCTATCTCATTCCCTTGCTCGCCATGTTGATGCATGAAGGTGAGAAGCCTTCAAATATTCATCAATCAGTTCAGTATCTATCATATTTTTCCAACAAAAAACGACGGATTTACAGGTACCAAGGAATAATAAGCTTTAGTTCATATGACAGCTCGTGAGTTAATTATAATCCCAAAACTGGGGACCAACATAGATAACTTTTCACTCTTCCTTGTGGTGTGGCTTCAATAGTTTGAATTGCTCGAGGCTTCCAGGCAGACTCATTAAGATAACAAATATTTCGAGTTTTTCCTTGCCTCATCTCATAATCAATCATTTCATAATCACTGGGCTCGAGAATCCGTGACTCCATCGTCGTAGTACACGATATTGTCGAATCCATCCCATTGTTGTACGTCGTCCTACCTCATGCAAGGTCCCATACTCATACCTCATTACCGACTTGCCTCGGAAGCTAGATTGGCCTTTCGGGTGTGATGTGAAATAAAGTTACGATCATCTACCAGGTTTTTTTTTTCGTACTACCTACGCTTGCATTCTATTATGCCAGGGAGCAGGCCAGGGCTATACTCATTGCTTGCGGCACCAAATCACTAGACGAACACCACACCATACACAACAACGTTGACGAGTGGTCCAATGAATCAGATGGAGCCACGATACCAAACTTAATAAAGCTCACATAACCTTCAGTCAGACCAAATATCAGTCTCTATTGCGCCACCAAACTTTTGGCTGACAGTTCTTGATTATTTTAAGCTCCTCTTTCCACTCTATTTCCTATGTGATGCGTAGCTCATCCCAACTAAGCGCGCCTGCTTAAGGTACCTCGATTACTACGCCACCAAGGGAAACTCCGTGCAATTTCCCATATGGCTACCTGCATGACCTACTGCCTTGCACAAGACTTTTAATTTTTGAAAAAGTCGGTCGGTACCATTCGGGCCTCAAAATACTTTTAGTAAATTCGCCAAGAATTGACATATATCGATTTTCATTTTCAGCTGATCTCGTTGTTTTCCATCAGCTTCTATTTCATAATCTTCTTGTTGCATAATCTAGTTGTTACAATAATACTTCTTTTTAGTATGACTGTATTGATACTTATCAGCAAATAGTATAAAATTCAGAACGCTTAACTTCTATCTTTGGTTCTATGTGCGTTTTTTCTTCCATGCATGGACAGGTAACAGGGCCTTACAACCTTGTACCACAGCAACATCTTACCAACCACGGTTCTGGATCCTTATTTGATCTTTTTACCCTTGGCTTGCTGCATGAAGCCGAATTTCGGTTCCTGGTCGTCGGGTTGATCACAATTTCATGTACGCGCCTGTTGGCAAAGTGTTGGCCTGGACTACCATTGTGCTGCATAACATCTAAAACAGCAAGCTGAACTAACGAATGACCTTGCGTTGAAAACGATCAAAGGCCAAACTGCTTGCGAAGGGAAAGAAGCAAAAGAAAGGACGCTTACCCTGTCCTGTCCGAAGACTCCACGTGGCGAGGACGAAAATGGAAATTTGATGACGATAGACTATGGATGTGTTCCCGCGCTCGCCACGTGGATTTAAAGCAATATCGAGAAATCAGCAATTCGTTCAGGCCGTTCCGGGCGAAATCATAACGGGAAAAGGGCGGTATACGAGAGATAATTTCGAGGAGCGGTATGGGTACACGGTATGTGATCAGCCTTTTCTTTCCTGTCCACTTGGCATATGCATAGATGATCGATCCACGAAGCATAACCGTCTCCACGGGAAAGAAACAGGGCTTTGGGTTTATAAATGAGAGAGTACCACCAATATCCTTATGGACATTACGGGTAGATTCATATTTCCTTCCCCGTGGGGAATCACTCGGCTTCCTGCGACTGCGACGGGAGGTGAAGATGGAACAATCGTACCTCAAAGTATCGAGACTCTCCGCGATGACGGCGCATTGAGAGCATCGGAGCTTATCACACTTGCGAATTCTGTAAGATCATTTTAGTAGGTTCTACACAATTATCAAGTCAAACTTTACTCGACCGCGCACCTCCAATTACAAGTCTTTTAACAAGTGTGAGACTTGAGGGAGGGAAGGGCAATGCACACCAGAGAGCGAGTCGATAATATATTACACGAGTACCTATGATGTACTCTATACAAGTGATGTACTTTATACATCACATATTCATTTCTGCGCATGATGAGAAGATCTCATTTCACTGCTACAAGATGGATTTCAAAGCTGAGAATTTCAGATGTGCAACAAAACATCTCACTCTTGACTCTACTGCCTCAATTTTCTAGGTACAGTGAATTGACTTCTGTTTCCGCTATATAATATTTATTCACAAAATGGGAACGGAATCGGCGAGGAGATTGGGGAGGTCTCGCCATGATATTATTCCATCTTATTTCAAAACTACTTATCATACTTCGGACTTCTTGCATCGGTATAGGCAAGTGAATTCGAAAAAGACCTGATATAGGGAAGGAAACGTGCAGTACTTCTTCGGGATGAAGTTTCATTTCCCGCAAATACCCCATGGAGATTCTTACCAACGCCCCTCGTGTGAGATTTTACCGCGGGCTTTCCACGAATGCTTCAAAAATTGAATTGTCAGCTAGCGGAAAGAACAGTATTGGGTTGATGATCTTTGTCGCTCTCATGCTCACTTTCCCACTATTCTTGAAGAGTCGGCGATGATGACTTGTCTTGAAAGCTAGGCGAAAGAAATATCACCACGTTGATAGATAATTAAACTTCAAATTACCAGGAGATCTAACGGTCAATACATCATCTAAATTGCATGTGATGACAGAATTTATATAAATCTTTAATTCATCAACCTCTTTTCCTCATCATTACCCCAATCAAATCTGACATTGAACAATTCTCACCCACAAAATGCAATACAACCTCAGCTCTCGGCACCACGGTTCCCGAATCCCAACCCCTGACCACCCACCCCATCAGCAGAAATTTCCCGAGAAGATGCACGGAACGCACGCACGCAACCACGGAACATAAGATGTGATAGCGGAGTGCAGGAGTCGGAATCTTAGTCCGTGGAATTCTTCATTTGTTTATTATTTGCCGATCACAGTCGTAGTCACTATCACATTGCATGTGCAGATAATATATGTGTGTGAGTGAAAGAACATGGTTTAGGCGTGGAGTCCGGGGCCAATTTCTCCTTTGGGATAGCATCGCCGTGGGGGCTGGAATTGCGGGGATCGTGGTAGGGGCGGGGAGACGACATGTGGTGGTGTACTTTTTGATATCTTGGCGGAGGGGAGCGGGATTATGTCTTTTTATCAGCTGTTGATACTAGCAAATATTGTTGAGCGGCGTTTGAAGTTGAGTAAACATAGTCTATTCTTCATGACCCCCATGAAAAATTTGGCATTACGTACCATCCTTGAATGCTTTCCTCGCCCATTCCAACCTCAAACTCATATAGGCTTGAGAAAGATTTGTCTGGGGGTTGTGTAAACTATCAAAATCACTACGGTTTCCCTTTAATATATGCAACTCCGTTTCATTCCCTGCGTCCATCAATCTCGTTGCAAATTTCATGACTTGGTCCCTAAACACTTCCTCCCTGCCGACATCAATCCATGTTGGTGGTAAATCATACAAATTTGGCGCACAGGCTGGTGTTACATATTCCAGATGCTGTGACCGATGATATTCTCTCCAAAGTTTTTCTTTCCGAAGAGCTTCTGAAAGAATTTTTTTGTCACTCGGATCAGCGTCTACTATAAGCTGGCGGTCGGAAACATGGTCTGGAATGCTATAAATGTCCTGCAGATGATAATCCCACACAGTTTTCTTCCAGACTTTGGAGGTCCAGAATTCCCCTTCCTCCTCGGAATTTTGTTTCGTTTCTACAACCAAGCGATCATCGATTACGGGACAGATTAAGCACTGTGCCATTAACTTTCCCCTTCCATGTAGTCCCATGTCGACTCCATCACGAGCCATGATTGCAGTTGCGGCAGCAAGTCCTCCTCCTAAAAACTGCCCAGCTATCATTATCTTCGTAGGATCGATGCGCAAATTCATTGCCTCCTTGAAAACGTATTGAAGACCACGATAGCAATCTGTTACTGGAGTGGGGCACCAATGCTTGTCCAGAAGGCGATAATCAATTGTCAACAGTACAAGGTCAAGTTGCTTGATCAGATCGCAGAAGCCGGATATACCGTCAAAGGGTCCATCAGCCATGAAAGGGTCACCGTGAATGTAATATATTGCCGGTCTAAGGTACAAAGATGTGGCAGTTTTGAGTTGTAAGATAACAACTTTGATATCTCCGTACGTGTCTGGAATTCCTGGAAACTTTGAAACGGCCACTTTCGTGGCAAATATTTCTGGGTGGTCGGCAAGAGCAGCATCTGCGGAAGTTTTTGGTCGGGATTGCCAGTGACGAAGCATGGTGGATGTTTCCTTTGTGAACAAAGATTCAGTGCGTCTCATAGGCCTCTTGTTCCGAGCTTTCTCGTGTTCAGGGGTATCTAGTAGTGTATGAGAAGGCTTTGAAGGAAGGTCTTTTGAGAGGGGGTGTCTTAACATGATGATAATTACTTCCGTTGTCGCAACACTTAATTCTTAAAGTTAGAATATGCTACTGTACTAATGAATTTTGAAGATATCTCGAGTCTTTATCACAGTTTGGGAAGTAAGAGAATAGCAAAAATGATTCCAAAATTTCTGAACTTTGTCAAGCTCTGAGGCTGTCATGAAGTTCAGAGACTTCTGGGAGAATGAAACTTGAGGATACTTGCCCATAATTTAATTACGTTCTTGCCTTGAGATTAAATTAAAATGCACCAGTACGAGCAAAGAGGAGTAGGTGCGATGTGGCTAAAATTAGACACTCGGAAATGCCCAGGTAAGTAGGGCTATTAGATCTAGAGATATGCTGGAAACTCAATATTGTATAGCACTAGATGCTCCATGAAAATGAACGACAAGTACTCGCAATTACGATTCTGTCTAGAACATGTGTACATTCTCATTATTCAAAGGAGGAAAGAACGACAGTGAGCTAATGGTTGCACAGTGCTTTTGTTCCTTTCTCCATTCTTCATGTATAAAAGCATCTGAAACTATCAGGATGGAAGTGACTCATTCTCTGAAGTCGATTTGCCAAGTTCAGGTTTCTTAATTTACTTGAATTGAAGCTCCTGTAGCTAAATCCACGTCGAAGAACATATCTGCATAGTGTATTTCTGTTGTAAGGAGCTGTCCTTTCGGTGAAATGATGTATGATGGGGAATGAAATTTGATAATCGAAGTGAAAAATGTGCACAAGTGAAATACAAATCGTTTCAATTCCTCAACAACCTAAACCGGGTATAGTACTACTTTAAAAATGACTCCCCCTATCTTCGCCGCCTTCCATAGAGGCAGCGTGTCCAAATTTGATACGAGATTTCATTATTTGAAAGGCTCTCAATATCTAGACTGAATCCAAAATCTCAAACAACATCAACTTTCCAATGGGATTGAAAAGTTGAAGGTTCCAGCTGCCGGTTTATATCCGGACTATTCAAATCCTTTAATCCATCTCCTAACCATTTCACAGTCCCACCTATCAGATCTCTTCTCAGCTAACATCCCCTTGATCCCCTCTGCCATCTCATGATTCTCAAATCCTGCCGGATATTTACCAGATTTGATATTATTCAATACAATGTGACGCTCGGTACGGGTAGTAAAGGGGGTGATCAGCTCAAACGCTATAATTCCCAAGGCATAAACGTCCAATTTAGGACAGACAATAGTGGACTTTCCTGGAGGCATATAAAGCTTTGTCCCTGCTTGCTTTGACCCGAGACGAGATAGCTGTGTTGAGGGGTTAAGCTCTATAGCTCTTGTAGATGGTCCAGCAGCAGGAGTGGCCGTAGTTTCAGCAAGTTTGACTGCTAGTCCAAGATCCCCAATGCACGGCGTAATATAAGCTTTGTTTTGATCAGCAGACCCAGTACACGTTGGACAGGCGCTCCTGCTGACATCTATTAAGTCGTGCGAGGGAACGAATGCTTCCAGGTCCTTCTTGGCGGATAGGAATATATTGGCGGGCTTTAAATCCCTATGGATCAGGCGTTTTGCGTGGAGATACTGGACTCCATTGAGAATGGCACTCAGTATTCGAATTGTGGGAAGTGTATGAAAGCAGTGGCGGATGGGAAACTCGTGACCTGGCTGTGGTGTATCTGTTGAGATATATTCCTCCAGTGTCAGAGGATAGACAGTAAATCGAATGTATAGGATGCGAGCTCTATTGTCTTGTGGAGTGATGGTGTTGCCATTGCTGTTACTTTCATATTCTTCCTCTTCATCTTCGCTTTCCTCTGACGACTTCCCGCTGGATCTTGTCGCGGTTGCATTTGAAACATCAAAAACTACACCACCATCACCATTATTTGTGAGTACCTGGTCGCTGCTAGTTTTACCTCGTCTTCTAGTGTCTTTCTCAAGTTCCTTCTCCATGTCCAAACGCAAATCATTCATGCCGAAAGTGGGGTCTTGCTGCATTCCAAGTTCATCTTCTGATTGTTCCACCTCACTCATAGACATTGAGAGATAGCTTGATTCATCCTCAGCATCCATCAAACGGCGTGTTGATGGAACGATTACATTTCCCATCTCAATCCAGCAGCCATAGTAGTTGACAATGTTGGGGTGTTTGTGTTCAGCTAATGCTTTTACCTCAGACAATAGTGCCGCTGTGTCAACTTTACGAAGCTGGTCTGGTGTAATGATGACCTACAGAAAGTCAGCAAGAGAAGATTCTTAACACTCGAATAACGAAAAATGCTAGGTTCAAGGGGCATGAATTATTCTTACTCACCTTCTTGATAGCACATTCCAGGTCATCAACTCTGTGTTTCACTTTGTAGACTGCTCCAAATCCTCCTTTGCCTAGTAGGCTAATCTGCTCCCATTCTCGGTTGTAAATTGACCTGTATTGAAAAGGATTTGCGGTCAAAGCAGCTGACGAGAAAGGGTTCTTGGGGATCATTGCAAGATTGAGACTTTGCGGCTGGTCAAAATAGGACATTCCGATCGACGAATTAGACGTTAATGGAAGGATGGAGTTTTGGCTAAAGGTCGAAGTCTGTACACGCTGCAATGCACTTTGAGAGAGAATAGAATCGAATGTTGAGAGATAGCCCTCGCGTAGAGTTGAAAATTGCCGACCTGCAAGCTCATCTGCTCTGGGAAGTACGCCTGACCGGCGAAGCTCACCCGCCATATCACTGAATAGCGCTTGAGCTAAACGCTGGATATCTGGATGGTTTTCTGGCAATTGATCATCTGGACCACGACCAGAGTTTAAGGTGGTCAAAGCTTGTGCTTTACATCTTGCCTCAATTAAGGAGAGGTAAAAAAGAGTGGATTGCTGGTTGTTTAATTGTCCAATTGGCAAATGTACATCGCCAAATCTCGTCAGAGCTGTAGAAGGAGATTGGGGAGGAAGGTGGATGTCCTCGGTGGATGAATCATATTGAGACTTTTCATCCCTTGTCTCCTCGTCACTAGAGAAGGTTCTTTTGTTGCCAGTAGTAGAAGACATGATATTCCTCTCCTATTTTGTCCTTGGACGACTTTCAATATCGAACTGAGGTCTGAACATTGAATTGCTGATATAAAACAAACGTAGAAATTGGAGAATAAGTGCAGTGTAGAACTGATACGAGAGTCAAGTATGTGATATGTCTTTTTGTCTTTCTTATACGTGTCAAATTGGCTTTTGATTGCGGTTTCTCCTTTATTGGTACCTTTTCAAGTGAAGGGCTCGAAGAATAGAGTGCAGGCTACAGGATATGAATATGCCCTGAGCTCTAGAACAGTCATCGAAGCTTCTGTCCAATTCTGGAGAAGCGCCCAGTAAAAGTGGACCTGTTGCTCAGATAATGCACGTGATACGGTCATTTAGAAAAATCAGATGACTCGTGGCGGTGAAACGCGTCAATATCAGAATCCCGATTTCCTTATCACAAGGAAGAGATGTCTCGGATATTCCATATTGAAAGAGAGCAATGCAAAGACTTTAGCTGATGTTTAACAAAAGTTGAGTTGCGGAAAAACTACGAGAACTATCAAGCTAGTTAACTTTAACTATTCTTCCCGAGATCAGATACCACTGGCTTTTGTCTTTGCAGCAGTGTTGTTCGTGCGCTGTGACAGACAGAACGCATACGGCTGCATCAAGTGGTTTGTCTTTCATTTGAGGACCACCAGCGCTGCGATTGAAGAACTCAAGACGGTAATCTAGTTATTAGCCATTGGAGGCTCAACAAGAATCCGTCACCAAGAAAGCGCTCGTGGTAAATGTACTCCTTGACGACAGGGCCCATTGCATTATCGTCTCACCTTACAACACTCTTTAGACGATCCCACTACACTCAACTCAGTGTCTGCTGAAGCTTTGGTTTGGTCACTCAAAGTCTCTCCACTAAGGAAAAAGTTTTCTGCATCCAGGAAACGCTACGCCGAAGCTTGATAGTGAGGGCACACGGGCGACTTCATGACATCTCATTGCTGAATACTTTGATGTTCCTTGGTGATATCAGCGAGCAGTTATACCAATTATCGACAGTAAATAGAGCATCTCGTTGCGTTATTCTTCATAGTCACGCCGCCGCACTCAGTATATGAGGATCGCTTTCATTACGAGAACAACCCTAACAGCTTGCCACGCGTAGTCATTTCTCCGGCTGAAGGTTCAAAGTTGAAAGTGATTGAAGCACCTAGAAGGAATCAATCATTCACTTGTTGCTTATCGAATTCTACCGAATGCAAACAAATTCCAATTTCGCCATATTGTTGAAGGCCTTACTACATTTTTGAACAAAGGACCAATTTATACAACAAGCCATTGTCGGTAATGAAATTAATCGTCTACCCATTATTATTCACGTTTAATTTGAATTTATCTTGCATAAAATCCTGGTCTTTCACTTGTCTTGTTTATTCACCGTAACCACCAACGGGCAGCACCTCTAATTTTCAAGGCTTGGTCCCACGTCAAGTATTTGGATTCTCATTGAATCATGAGGACACTTCCATGGAAGAAAAAGAATGGTTCGACCACACTGACTCTTCCAAAGAAAACCATTGCATCTGTCGGCAGATCTGCAAAGCGCCCTCGCGTTGAAGCTTCTCTTTCTGATAGCGATTATGATTCCGACCATGCTCCCAAGCAGATCAAAGCAGTGACCCATAGTTTGTACTCTTATAAGCAGTGCTCTGATTCTCTTGCTGATTTTGATCAAGGTCGTGAGCCATCTACATCGCCTCCGCCAGAACCTCCCACTGAAAGGTTCGTTCGAGTTGATGATCTATGCGTTTGTCGCTAACCCGTTAGTAGTTTCATGGAGGAAGGTCGAGAGCATGATGACAAATATCGTATTGTTGAAGACGAATTTTTGACAGTTGCAAAGTCGTTCACTGTACACTTACACACAGCCGAATACAAAAGACTTGGAAAAATGACCAAAACACGAAATGCTGATGCTATTAATTCGATGTCAAGGCCTGTGGTTGGTAGAATGCCAGATGCAACAAGGCGTAAAGCCGAAGAAGTTGCAAGATCGAAAGAACAGCGAAGCGTTCTAGAGAAATTAGTTGGCAAAAAGGCAGATGGCCTTTCTAGTGATAGTGACGAAGAAACTTTACCCTTTGTTGGAACATCACTTTATGGTCTGATGACAAGTCCGAAGAAAAGAGGTATATCACTCATGAACATTTCTTCTCCAACCAAAACTACAAGAGCAGCCGCGGGATTTCGCAATCCCACTAAATTTAAAACTTCACAGCGCGCGTCCTCTCCGACTATCAAACGTAAGACTCAAGCTGTGGATCTGGATCTGGATTTGGATGCTACAGTTTCCGAAGACGATGATGATCTAGATGCACCTATTTCGGCTCCAAAATTCCCATTCTTTAGACCAATTAATGGGAAAGATGCTGTTAATACAAAATCAGAAGTCAAATTACCGAAAATATCAACAACGGCTACTCCTATTAAGCTACAAAGTTTAAGGACTCCTGTGGCTGTTGAGGCCAATGTTTACAAATCTATCAAAGCTCCAATCGCTGATCCGCCCTCTCATTTATCTGCCACTCAAGATAGGATAGCAAGACGAATTGCGCAGACGAAACTTAGAAGGAAACAGGAGGAGGAAGACAAGAAGAAACTCGACATCATACCGACGTTTTTATGATTGATCAACAACCCTGTGTTGAAATTATCATCACAATTTAATCACATATGACTCACGGACCTCGTTGAAAACTTCACTCATGAACTTTGAATTAAATGGTTTATTACAATCATCACAACTACAATGAATTTGTGCACATTATGATGCCTTGAAAGGCGTCTCGTATGGTGCTTCAGCTTGTGGTGTGATACGCGCGAGATGTCTGCGTGCTCCACCCGACCAATCAACAAGAGCGGTATGGGTCGCCACTCTGTTGTCCCAAACAACTACAGTTTTTGGTGCCCACTTGACTCTTACGTGAAAGTCGGCACCTAGTGCAATGTGGTCATATAGGAAATTCTACGAAACGGTTAGATAATCGTCGGTATATTGCAAACATTGGAGAGGACATTACCAATAGTACATCGCTTTCTTCTTGTTTCAACCCTACGATTTTTCGAGTGACTAGAAGACAGGTCAGTGACGAATAAATTCAGTGGAGATCGCGTATACTTACATTGTTTGTTAACATACAATGCCTTTTCTCCAGTTACTGGATGCGTTCGGATAATAGGATGAACGTTCACGACAGGCTCTCTGCGAGCAATGCCATTCCTATAGTGAGAGGCGTTCACTTGCTCAATACCTGAATGTGTCGCAGAAAGTCCATGCAGACGTTCCTTGAATGCATCACTAAGACGATTATATGCTTCGACACCATTAGCAAAGAGGGTATCTCCTCCGGTTTCTGGTACGTCAAGAACATATAGAAAAGTCGTTCCCGGTGGCTGCTTCTCATATGTGACATCAGAGTGCCATGCTACACTATTTGTTCGAGTCTCGAAGAAGCTATCAGCTGTTTTATCACCAGCTGCTCTATGTACTAGGTGAACTTCAGGATGACTCAGTGGGGCTCCTGATGTGGGATGGATATGAGGTCGTCCGAAATAACTGCCATACTTCACGGCGTCTGCGATCGGTAGATCTGCAAAATCTTGGTCTCTGAAGGCTACGACCTTTCTCTCTGCGACAAATCGAGCCAATTGGTCTTTGCCAGCATCGCTCAACTTGCTTAACTGTACGCCTTTGATTTCTGTGCCCATCGCGGGTGTCAATTCAACTGCCTCAACACCCGGTGCAAGTAGTTCTGGATAGGTTGTATCGGCATCCATTCCATGGTCTCTGTGCTCAAACGATTCAAGGGGTGGGTATGTAGTATCGTCCCAAGTTGGAAGATAATGTGGATACTGAGTCTGAGTATTAGAATAATTTTGTTACTCGCAATGAACTATGGAGAACACATACCGACGCAGCAGCAAACTTGCCAAGACCTTTCTCTTCGGCTTCTTTATCGAACGACGTGGGGGCAAGCTCTTTATAATTTCCAAGCTCATCGCGACTGAATCTATCAGTTACAGACTTCTTCACTTGAGTTGGAAGAGCAACTGTTTCTGTTGCTGAAGGTGCCATTGTGTTTAAGGTGGTTGTTATTGTAATGTTTCAATTGTTGGATGTAGAAGTTTAACTTGAGCTTTCTTAATGAAACAGGAATTTGAAGGACTTAAATACATCCGGGCAGAACGCATGTTCGCAACTTCAACATAACTCATTCGCCAAACTTACCACATTCAACCCGTCGATTCTTGATAACGACATCACACAAGATTCTTATTGGAGCTTGCGTCCTAATTACCACTCCGCAAGATCTAATCATAGATAACAATCAGATCGTGACACGCTCGGGAAACCCAATACGCAAGCAAAGACAGATGACACGCAATTTGGTGTAGTTGATCGTTGAGATATTAGAGTGGTTATTGGTCAATGAATGATGGTGCAATTGTGCTCAGCGATCACGAATGTTGTTTGGGAAATGTGATAACAGAGTGGATACATCGGGAATCGAGGGGTAGATAGTTACAATCATACTCGCCACTTATAGAAACGATTCCTTTTTCAATCAAGACCGATATTCCAGATATCTAGGATCCCCATCCCCAGATTTCTAACTGACTACCCTACCCTACCCATAGGAGTGTTGATGCTACACGTGATCAAAAGCTGACACAAGTCACGTGTATTTTTCGAAGGAAGCTTTCTGGTTGATTCAACAAGCATTGGACAGATTCCAAACCTCAAACTTGAAAACTTTTGATTTGCAGGAAGACAGGTTTTTGAGTTGCTTTTGATCACTCATTATGGCTCATGATTAATCCCTATGAGCATGAGTGCTGAGAAATCAATTGCCAGTATGGTCGCTAAGACTATTACAGTCAAACCTGGCTACAAGGGTCTAAAAACTTTAAGGCCTAATAAATGCCCGTATATCGGGGTTGCTCGTATATTAAAATTCAGCCTCGTCATTTAGCCTTGTTTTATACTTTCAGCCTCCCCAATTTCACTAAATCTGTCATGTAAATTTATGAATTCATCGTGTGATACGCCAAAGCTCGGGCCAATACCACCAGTTTTATAGGACCATATGCTCTTATATAAGGGGATGTCCGTTTAAGTCAATTTCACGATATAAATTTTTGGAAAGTTGGAAAAAAATGCCCGTATAAAGTGGATGCCCATACTGCACGTGCCCATATAGCCAGATTTGACTGTAGTACTGAAATCGGTCCACCCTAGCGTTGACTAGCGTTGCCTAGCGGCGTCATGCTCTATCTTTTATCTCTGCGGGGCAACTTTTTTCTCTTCTATCAAAATCCCACCATCCAAAGAAAAAATACAAGAAAAACTCCGCCATCATGTCTGCTATGGATGTTGACGACGCGCCGGTATCTATTGCCTCCAAATTTCAGACACAAGAACCAAAAACTGGTGCTACGTAAGTTTCTTCCCCAGGAATTTTCTCAAGTTCCTGTCGCTGATAGTTTCGAAGTATTCTCTGCTGCAACTGTGGCGCTCCTATTGACGGAACGACTTCCGCCGGTGCTCTCTGCTATGATTGCGTAAAACTTACCGTCGATGTATCGCAAGGTATTCAAAGAGAAGCCACTGTACACTTCTGTCGAGATTGCGAAAGATGGTTACTCCCACCTCAAACTTGGATCCAAGCCTCCCTTGAATCCCGAGAACTCCTTGCCCTTTGCCTAAAGAAACTTCGAGGTTTACACAAAGTTCGAATTATCGATGCGAGCTTCATCTGGACGGAACCTCATTCTCGAAGAATCAAAGTCAAGCTTACTATACAAGATTCGGTATCCGAAGGTGTCGTTTTGCAACAGTCATTCGAGGTCGAATATGTGGTTGCCTATCAGCAATGTCCCGATTGTGCGAAATCTTATACCGCGAATACATGGAGAGCTTGTGTGCAAGTTAGACAAAAGGTTCCTCACAAGAGAACCTTTTTGTACCTGGAACAATTGATCTTGAAGCATGGCGCACACAAGGATACCATTAACATCAAGGAAGTCAAGGATGGTCTGGATTTTTTCTTCGCAGCACGAAATTCTGCGGAAAAGTTTGTCGACTTCTTGAACTCTGTTGCCCCTATTACAGCAAAGAAGTCTCAAGAACTTATCTCTATGGATATCCACACATCTACTAAATCCTACAAGTTCTCCTTTTCCGTCGAGTTGGTACCAATCTGTAAGGATGATTTGGTTGCGCTTCCAATTAAGTTAGCAAAGTCAGCTGGAAATATTTCCCCTCTTGGTCTTTGCTACCGAATTGGTAATTCTATCAATATTCTTGACCCACAATCCCTTCAGACTGCCGAAATCAGTTGCCCCATATACTGGCGTGCACCATTCAAACCTTTGGCTGATGTTCAGGAATTGGTGGAATTCATCATTATGGACATTGAGCCCTTAGGTCCTACAAAGGGACGATGGGCTCTTGCTGAGGCTACCGTTGCTCGTGCATCTGACCTCGGAGCAAATGACAAGACCTTCTATACAAGAACGCATCTCGGAAATGTTGTCCATCCCGGAGACTCTGTAATGGGATATATGATGACTGGTACTAATTTCAACAACCCTCAATACGACGCCCTTGAAGAGTCAAATAACTACGCATCGAAAATTCCTGACGTAATGCTTGTCAAGAAATTGTACGCAAGAAAGAAGAAGTCTAAGAACAGGAACTGGCGTCTCAAGCGTATGGGTAAAGAAGAAGGAGAGGTCTTACCCAGGAAGCAGGATCAAGAAAAGATGGATAGAGATTATGAGATGTTCTTACAGGATGTTGAGGAAGATCCTGAGCTCAGACAGACACTTGCTTTGTACAAGGCTCAACAGGCTCAGAAGGAAGCGGATGCTATGAGTGTGGCTGAGACGAGTGATGGTGAAGATGAGACACCAAAGATTGATATGAATGAGTTGCTAGACGAGTTTGATGAACTCAATATGAACGACCAACAATGAGTTTAATAATTCTCTGATGGTATCTCTCTTATATGCTTGGGTGGCGTTGGTTGGAAACGGCGTTTGAGTGTTGTTTGCACAACTCAAAATGGTTACTAGGTTGGGAGGCATGCAAGGGAAAGAGCATCCGGCTAAGCTCGAGGTAGTAAAGTGGCTAGATTGAACGTTACATGTCAGCGCACCATCATCAAGATCTATTTTCTGGATTGCTCAAAATGTACCTGAATATCTAGCAAAATGCAAAATGAATATTCAGCAGGCTTCGCCATTCTTCCAAGTGATTGCTTTAAGAACCATCCTCTCTGTGAGCCAATTATCCATACTTTTTCCCCTTTTCTTTTGGTCTTCTCCGAGCATGACCTCGCTCTGCTCTTTTTCAATACGTGGACGGTCAGTGCCACGCGCCCAATCCATGACATGCAAAGTTCAATAAATAATACATATTTTTCATGGTGCAAATCATGCGTTCTTGTAAAAGACAGATTCACAAAATCATGCCCACTATGTTCAGCGGTTATTATCAGATACATAACAAGCAGCAATGTTGCAAACGCAAAGATGTGCACAAGTTATGATGGAAACCATATCGGCAAATACGAGCTCAGGTATGTTACTATAGAGAGATTTAAATGTGATGGGTGAAGTGAATTTGTGGTGCTTTTTGTTGGTGTATTTGTGGAGGAGAGGATGGTGGTTGAATTTCGGTATAGATCCATCAATTCGCTTCAGCAACAACATGAGGATGAATGCTCCATTGATAGCATCCTTGATAGTTTCTCCCAAAATCCAGTTTTCGCTACAGCGCTCGCAGGAAAAATGGTCTGAGTCTTTCCCACGTCATTTGAATATTCCCTTTGATTCGATATATACTTGTAGGAGCATTACAGAGTAAAGCAAAGTGGAAGTTCACAATGCAACCCTCCTGCATATAGCAGGCCTCAATATTAGAGGAGCTCCGAGAGATTCAGAAGCCTGAGGTCAATTACCGTAGCTCAGGGGAACATGTTAAACGGAGTGCCATCATTATCATTTGATAGAAGATATCCTCGTTAACCCCGCACCAATTTCCTATTTTGGAAGGTAGCAGATGTGCGAAGCTGCACCTAAGCGCTTCTCGGCACAAACAAACGAATGCCGGATCCAAGCTACGAACAATGGAATATGTTATTGAAAGGTCATTAACTTTGATCGGACTCAGCTGCTGGCGATGTTCACTTGGAGAAGAAACTGCTGCTAGTAAATTTTGTCCATGAGAATGAAAGAGACGGAGGATCCAAGGACTTTCAGGGAAAAAAAGATGTGTGAATCAAGCAATGCATGAATTAATCGAAATTAATCATCTTTGGAACCGAGCAACTTCTTGCATTGACTTACACGGATTCCTTCTTTTTGCAGTCTGCAACCCCGAAAGGTTCCATTTCAATCGGTATGCCTTGCAATATAAGTCGACGGTCTCCTCCGAGTTCAGATAAAGTTTCTCCACCTCTTCAAACTCAAGCAAAATAAAATCCTCCACCAAATTTTGTCAAAGCGTTCCAAGATGTATGGAGCACGCACATCTAGTCGACACTTCAGACCAAATCCTCGACATCCGAGAGACACCCGCGCTCGGCTTCGTAGACCTCAATGGCATGGTAAGGGATATCGCGAAGGTGGGGATATATTGTTCTTTCAATTGCATCGATCCTGTTCTTCTGGTCGTGGGTAAGTGCGGCAGGCTCAATCCCCATACTACGCTAAGGTTCTTACTGAGCCGCGTTCTATAGATTCAGTCGCTACTTTGAATCCTTTGAGACAGCAAGCATGCATGATCTTCGCGACGGTCTTGAGAGTAAGTAAATCTACCGACAATATAACCAGGCTTTAAAGCGAATAAATACTGACCACAGACCATATAGATGCATTATTAAGGGAATATGAATTGCCGGAGAATTTACGCTTCGAGTTTTTCCTTCGCAGAACACAGATCATAGGTGAAGATGTGTTGGTCGGAAGCGTGTTTGGTGGAGGAGAAACAGTGTATGCTAAGGTGTTTGACGACGAAGGCATTGAATTCTTCTGTAGTGGACCTTTTGACAACATATGGCAGGCGAAGGAAAGGAGGGGTGGGCGATGAGAGCCAATGTCGAGCTTGTGAGCTGCATGGACTGGACCGTATCGAGATGGCGTAAGGGTGAGTCGGAGTCGAGATCCTACAAATTTCGATTCGCAGTTTGTAATTTGTAAGTTGAAGAAGCTTTGAATTCGTATTCAATTGTCCCAGCTGAGTTTGGAAACCATGAAATTGACCAAAAATCTTGGTTAACAAAAACATTCGGATCTCATGACATGCCTCTCTTTCCCCTACCTCTTTGAGCTTCCTGGAATAGACCACTGAGTTGATAAATCTTTTAGATTTGGATTCAATGAACACACTCGCGTGGATTACGAAGGTGTAAATATTCTCGCCAGACAATCAAGTAAGTACTTGATCGCAGTTACCTAGTGATATTTCATCAATTATCCCGCTATCATCGTATCAACCATCATGAGCACTTTCTCCATTAATATCAAAAATACAGAAAGAAAACATGTTACCTCCAACATCCAGACACGGATAACTTCATATTGTTCCAGAAACATAAATCAAAAATACTTTTATCTACCAGACCAATATAACCTTGTAACCCACTACTCTCCAAAACCAAAAAGAATCACGGAAAATGGGCTCTGATTCCGCAATTTCAATCGTTTCTAGTCCGCAAGAGTCCAATGACTCTGATCCTATAATTCCCATGAATTCAGATCATAGTCCTCCAGGTTTCAACATATCTGATACTACACTTTCCGGGACCTCAGATCTTGGAGCTCCAGGTTCCAACAGTTCTAAAACTGGACTTCCTAGGGTTCCGGAAATTCTGTATCCGGATTCTAATAAGTCTGATACTACGCTTCCCCAGATGCCGAGTCTTCGTCGTACGGATTCCAATAGGCCTGGTTTCACACTTCCCGGGTTCTCAAACCCTCTGCCCCCAAATAATTCTAGTACTCAACTTGAAAACTATCCCTTTCCTTTGGTTCCCAATATCTTAAGACCTCCAGCCTCTTACAAATTTGGCCCTATAGTTGAGAGTTATTCTGGTGTTACAGGTCAAAGAAATCTTCGTCTCCCAATACCAAATGGATGCACATTCAAACCTGACCCGCTGCTTCACCCCAGACTGGTTTCCTCGCAACCATGCCTTCCCTGCAATCGTGATCTTCCTTCTGGTGAATCATGCAATAGAGTCCAGCCTTGCTTTGAATGTGTCAAGTCAAACAAGTTCTGTTCTTTTCCAGAAAGTGCTTATTTAACTGAACCAGGTTTGATTCTACGTTCACCCCTTACAAAAATACTGGCTGCTGACAATTGCATTAATCTGAAGATCTCCTCTACATTTCGGTGTATCTACCTTATTACCAGTAAGTCAATGGCGCATCTTATCTGTGGTAAGAACCCAACTAATGCGATTACGATCGATAGATCTTGGGAGTGCAGTAGAGATCCATCTAATAGACAAAAGTTCTTAACGGCAGTCAGGCGCACAAAGACGATGGCAGAACTTCTCAACGATTTACGGTGTAATCACCCTACATCACCCTCTGTACCTGAGCACGAATTGACGGACTAAGCAGCTACAGCAATAATAACGATTCCATTAATCCCAAATGACATCGTTTTCCGATATTATCTCCAAGGCATCGAGGTTTGGGGGAATGATTCTGCCTTAGTAAGAGATCTGAAGTGGGGAAATAATGATTTTATGGAAGTGCGTGCCTTCAATTTGGATACAGGAAATGAGTATCATGGGTGTATGGCAGGATGGTACCAGAAGAGTGAATGAGAACGTGGGGAAAAGACACATGTTTTGTTCTCTACGCTATACACTCACAGCGATAAACTTGGGGCCCAAGTAGTTATCCAGCAAAAGATTGAATAGTCGCAACTTTCTTTACTCTCATTTCTCCTATAAACTCATGAAGTAGGCTGTGCTGAAGTGGTTGATCCAAATTCAACAAAAAAAGACCGGAAGGACGAAACCTCGAGCTCGAGAGACTGCCTTACTTTAGATTTTCAAAATCGACATAATGTATGTCACGAAAGCTGGATCTTTCAAGTTGACTGCGCGATCTGTTACGACTACCATAGAGCGGCTCTACGTAACCGAAAAAAGCGGCGGGAAATTAATCCCATCTAAAAGGACTTCAACAATTTGAATCTCTTTCATTACAATTTCAAATATATAGAGTCTTAGTTATAAATATAAAGAAAGCTCAAATTTTCATTTGCTTTTTTCAAATTTCAGTATTTGATTTTGTATAAATTTAAAATCTATTAAAGAAGTTATTTGAAAGGCTCAAAAGGGTACTCAATTGCCGCCGCTTTTTTCGGTTCCGTAGAGAGTGGTTACTGAAAACAACACCTGATTATCACGTTTATCTTTAACCGAGCCTTTCACATCTGAGTCCTCGCATTGGTTGTCATAAATAATAAATAGAACAAATGTATCTCGTATATTACGAGAGGAAATGTAGGGTTAATTTACAAATCACTTATAAAGCAAAAAAATCGAGTATATTTCATCGATGTAATGAGAATATACAAGGTATCAACAATCTAAAACCACTGACGTCGTTGATTAGGTTAACAATCTGAACAATATGACGTAGAGGTCTTTATCGATCGTGGTTCTTCCCCGCGCTTAACATTTCGATATAAGAATGCCATATTCTCAACATCTATTTTCTTTTTTCCATATTTGTTCCGAAACCTAAAATCTAATCAATCAATTCACTTAATTCAATATGGCTCTTAGTCAAGCAGCAGCTCTCCTCGAGAAAGTCGTCGGTCATGATATCAATGCCGTCACCGAACAAGATGTAACAAATCCAGCACGGGACCGTCAGAAGTATGCGGATCCAAGTGGCGAGACTATGAAAGCTCTATGCTGGATGGGAAAGAATACCGTCAAGATGCGTAAGTTTCTCTAATTGATAATATCATCGTCACATATCTAATATCCCTCTCCGATGAACAGAAGAAGTACCAAAACCAAGAGTCGTTGAAGACAGAGATGTGATTCTAAAAGTTACCGGAAGTACTGTTTGTGGAAGCGATCTTCATTTACTTCATGGCTCCGTCGTAGAGTTGGAGAAGGGAGATATTCTTGGTCATGAGTTTTGTGGTGAAGTTGAGTCTATGGGCCCAGGTGTAAAGGGGCTAAAGAAGGGTGATCGTGTGGTTGCCAGTTTCCAGATTGCTTGTGGCGATTGTTACTATTGTGAAAAGAAACAATCATCCCAATGTGAAAAGACGAACAGTAATACTATTGAAAATGGAATGGTATGTTGACGTGTTGATCGTCGGAAGGATGTCAGGTGCTAACTTCGATAGTATGGAGGAAGAACAGCAGGAATGTTTGGCTACTCTCATTTCACTGGTGGATTTGCAGGTGGCCAAGCAGAATATGTTAGAGTTCCATTCGGAGATGTCAACCTTCTTAAGCTTCCATCAAATGTTCCAGATGAGAAGGGTCTCTTCTTATCAGATGTCATCTGTACATCTTGGAACTGTGTTGTCGACACCGGTGTCGAAAAGGGAGACGTAGTTGCTATTTGGGGTGCTGGTAAGTACTTATTGTCAGCCAATCAGTCAATCATTCTAACCATATCTAGGCCCTATTGGACAAATGTGTGCAGAATTTGCTTTCATGAACGGTGCATCACGAGTCATCATGATCGACAGTAACTGGAGATTGGACTTCGTCAAGTCTAAAATCCCCAAGGTCGAACTACTTGATTATAGTAAACTTCCTCGGGGAACCTCAGTCACCACCAAATTAAAGGAGATGGTTCCACGAGGACCCGATGTCGCACTCGAGTGTGTCGCAGGTGAATATGCCAAAGGCTGGGCCCACTACTTCGAGATGATGCTCGGCATGGAAACAGACACATCCGAGATTATCAACGAAATGATCACATCCGTTAAGAACTTCGGTCGATGTGGTATCACTGGTGTTTACGTCGGCTACACGAACCACTTCAACATCGGATCTTTGATGGAACGCGGTATCCGACTTATTGGCAATGGACAAGCTCCAGTGCACATGTATTGGGAAAAACTTCTCGAGATGATTGAGAAGAATGAATTTGATCCTTTGCAAATGGTATCTCATCGGGTTTCATTGGATGAACTTGACGACGTCTACTATAAGTTTGAGAAGAAGGAAGATGGTATGCAGAAAGTTTTTGTACAGACAAAGTTTTCTGCACCAGCTGCTCCGGGAAGTCCAAGTCTTACAACGTATAAGAAGTGAGGGATGAATGGAATGTCTAATGAAGGTTGATAATGATGATGACAACTTGTATTTTTAGCAAAAAGCAATATATCAATATTTTACTACGAAACAAGGGTTTTTCTATGCAGAGATCATATCTTACATTACGGGTAGCCAATTGTCCCAATCAGTCATTGGACCACAATTTCTAGGTCAAATTGTTACGATTTCTGTAAATCCTGTGTAATTTTCCACTCCTCACGTCTTCTCTCAGTGAGACCTCTGCGTTAAAATAAATTGAACATGAACACCATAACTCCTCAGCCATCGGCCTCTTAAATCGTTTCACTTCCGCTCCCTCCCACTGCAACTTCAATTCCTTAGATTCTGCCTTGCTACTTTCACTTCATTCCATCGTAAATCATCTCGAGCTCGTCCTCAAGCTCGTCCACATATATACATTTAGCTCTTCATTTAACCGAAAATATGCCAGCCATCTAACAAGTAGCCATCATAGTAACCAATGCCGCCTTCTCAGCGCTTGTAACCGTAAGTTTATAGACGGATTTAACCTTGATCCACATCTTTGCATATGTGCACCAGTATGAAGCTATTGGAACTGTTAGTATACTTCCATTCATCTGAGTCCCGCTTCTTCCCCCGCTTTTTTCTTCTATGCAGCTCCGAATCCATGCGTGTCTGATAAGATGACAACAGGAACAACCCCTCACACGAAAATGAAGACAAAGGAACTTACTCAAAGAAGGCTTGAACTCCTCCGGTCCACGGTCTCCCTTACTCTCATTGACATTGTCGGTAACAGCCAACAATTGCGGGTTGACAAGATCATTGGCAAAAGCCTGGCGTTGAGCGGTAGTCCATGCAGAAGCACCTGATTTCCAAGCGTTGCTCAAGGGAACAAGATGATCAATATCGAGATCGGAGGCGGCGGTCCAGGTTGCACCATCGTATGGAGATACCCAGGTTCCCGATGTCGCAGTACAGGCGCTATTAACGACGACATTTGTACCATCGCGCTTCAAAACGGTCTCACGTGTATTGCAAGTGCCGGAGATAGTGTTCCACTAGAGAGGAGTGTGTTAGGTTGGGTTTGGGGTAAATTGGGAAGGTATGTGAGTAAGCTGGAGAAGGTTGAGAAAAGAGAAAAAGGACGGTGAGATGCAAGGAATGAGATGAGGAGATGATTGAATGAACAAAGGAACATACAGTAGGGAACAAGTCTCTCGCATAGCCATCTTGACTTCCGGCCGCAGCCACAGTCAGACCAGCAAGTTCGGTATTAGCAGTAGCTGTGGTTGGTACTCCGGTTGGTGCTGGCATTGGAACTGGAGTTGCCTGGACGAGAAGTCCCGTTGCTAGAACGGTGAGCAAAAGACCTTTAAGCATGGTGAAGTGAAGTTTAACTGTGAGAGTATACTTGTATTATTGAATTGAGAAGAAGGATGAAGATAAGAACATGAGATGGCAATACCAGTCTTTTATAACCAATTCATGCTGATTAGAACAATGGGATATATCAGAACATCCCCATCTTAATTTCTGGGGCCGATTTCTGGGCACGGCGGCATGCGAACACTGTTGCTTTCACTCCGAACTCTTTATCAAGAGGAAGCATTTCTAATCAGCATTCACATGTTTATCATCTCTTCCACCCCATTCATATCACTTTTACCTTTTTCCAAACCCATTTTTCCTTTATCCTATCATAGATAATCCCACCCACACGCCTGTGAACCATAATCTTTACGATGGTGTTGAGCTTCCCAAAGAAGGCAATTCACCCCATGAACTCCATTTACAGATTCTTGGCTCGCATAAGGCTTGAAGACCCTTTTTTCTGACAATGACATTGTCCTTTAGACTTAAAGATAAAGTTGATAAGCATCAAATCATTTCGGCACATGGTCTTGGCTGCTTATATTTCGTACCCTTAAATGGAAGGTGGGGGAGTGCTTGGCGTACGGACGCCGCCTAATGATTGCCGTGAACTTTCATGGAGAAGGTGCATTTGATGGTGGTGGTGAATTGGAATATACTTGAAACGTGCAAGAATTGATACACGAATGAAGTTGTCAATGAAAGATAGTAAGATGTATACTATCATACTATCATACTATCTAACTCATACTATCTCTCGACTCGAATTTGTCAATGCCTTCCCAGAAAAATGCCGACCCAGCGTCTCCATTCTGCTTTGCTTAGTGACATCCAATCAATCTCTCAATCTTTCTTTGTTGATGAAACCAGTCTTCATCCATTCTCTCTCTATTTTATCTATTTGAATCATCCAGGAACTCTGATAGAGCCAGCCTTTCGGAGGTAATTAACAAAGCCCTCAACTTGCCCCTCGAAATTTGGGTCTTTACAATCGTTCGTAAAGTATATAGGGTGGAAACATCTGAGGTGGCGAAGGATCTCTATCATATCCTCCCTACCTTCCCTGCGTTCTAAATTTTCTGGGTGTATCATGATACTACCAAGGAATATTGGGATTCCCAGACATGCAAATGTTCTATCAATCGTCCTCGCGGGTGGCCGAGCCAAAGCGTCTCGCATAAAAGTCACCACTTCCTTAAGGTTGTGTATCTGTATGTCTATATATTCGTCCCGGGAAAAATCCTCAACGTATGGTATCTCACCTATCAGCGAGATGACCTCCCGGTGGAATGGAAGCACGCCATTCATTCCTATGAACCCTCCCATTGCACCACCTTGGTTCCCTAGACTAGCTAGAAACAAATGCAGTGCTGCAGTAGCGCCATCTTCTAGACCACCTATAAAGACATTATGTATACCTACAAGCTTCGATTCGCTGTCGACCATTCGTTGGATGGGTTGCAGCATCTTATATAGCGATTCGAGTATCTCTAATTCCTTTTCCAATTCAACGTTGTCTGAATATACAGTCCAGAAATCGACCATATCAACGTCCGTTTCGCTCATGTCGCTCCCCATATCCTGCGTTAACCAGGGATACTCAACTTCAGGAAAGCACCAAGTTGTTCCAGGAAAGATGGACATGATGGTTTCATCATTCAGTTTTGCCGCCACGAATTCATGAGCCCAACCAACGGCAGTATCCAAGACGTCATGAACAAGAATGACGGAACGGGTATGATCATTCCCGATTTTTGGATGAATGATCACAGATCCGTCCGACAATACTCGAGCCTCTGGAATTACGGATTCGTCTGTCTCAAGATCATCTGTGTCGACGTTTGAGTCTGTTCTCTCCTCCGAGGGCTGTTCATTCGATTGTTCAGCGGCTGTATTCATTGCAATTTGAATTGAATTTTCAGAAGTCTGATCGATGTTTGAGAGGCTGATCTGTTGAATTCTGACAGTCGAGGATGTCGATTTGTTGCATTCAAAGTTTATTATGCCAATGCTAGGTTAAATATTGAAGAGGTAATGATGCACTCGGAGATCGATTATATTAATGTCTCTATTGAACGCTTGAAAATTGTACTTGGGGTTGATTGTTTTGATGCTTGATTGATAACATGAAGGATGAAGAGAATAAAGTATCATCCAGATGAAATGAAGTAGGTACAATGATTTTTGTGATATAGCTACTTCCCAAGTAAACCTACCTAAACCTAATAATTAGATGGCAGCTTCGAACAGGCTGAAGTGCTAATCTGGTTGATGGGTCTGACGAGATGAAGTTCATATCTGTTAACGCTTGAGAGCTTTGGTTCTAGATATTCAACGTGAACGATTCTTCTCAATATTGAAAGTGCCTATCTTATCCCAAATTGCTGTAAACCATTGATAATCAAAATCATGTCCCCAGTAATGAAGGGAAGGGGTAAGCCATATCAAAGCTGCGTTGATGACAATACTCTTCAAGACCTAACCACCACAGAGAGATTTGTACGATATACCTGCGTGATACTGTAGAGGTCAAAGGAAATCCACTCAACTCGATGGTACCAAGAGATTCTAAGGTATCAGCAGTATCGACTCTTGGTATTGACGGCCCAAGCTTCCCCTGTGAAGTTCGGGATTCGGTATTCGGTATTGGCGTCAAATTACCAAGATAATCTCATTTCGAACTTTTCAAACAAATAAAACATAAGAATTAAAGCAAATCCAGAAAATCTGTCTTTCGATGAGACAATGAGTACTTATTTTCTGAGAATTGTATGAAAGTATCAAGGTTTGTGGGTGTTAAGGTCTCAGACTATCTGCCAGCTTCATAGACATCGTCTGCTGTGCTAAGCACACTCGAGTAGCTTCAAAGATTATCACTGACAATCCATAGATGTGCAGGATGACGACGATACTGATAATTCAATAGCACCTTCAAGATTCTCAAAATTACTTCCAGATATCAACTTGATATATCCATTCGATCCGCACATTATCGAATCTTTCATTGCGATCCGCGAGCCTGTTCAATTGCCGATCCGATACCGTCTTCAAAGCTTTCTACCAAATAATTTCGAAGCCTGGACACTTTTACCTAGACGATGTCCTGACTCAATCTGGCGATTATCTTGTTGTGCACTGTGTGCACTGTGTGCGATGCGTGGATTGCGATTCGTCAGTTTGGACAAGGCTTCATACCTACTTCAACGAAATCAAAGGATTACAAAACGATTCACTCAATATCCGCACGAATTATTCTCTCACCGATGCCTACGAATCTCGGAACTTATATACATTAAGAAATGAATGTCCGACATGCAGCCTGTTCCAATTTGCTTTATCCTACCGAGTACTGGCCAGCTTTCCCAATAATCTAAATATGCTTGAGTGGTCTGAGGTGGCAACTTGGAAGACGAATCGCCCGTGTGGATTCATGTCAAGGACTGTATTGGATTACGAGAGCGACACGGCAGTTATATCCGGTCCGTTGGGATTTCCAGCAGCAATTTTCTGCATGACAGGTAAGCAGTTACTTCATATGGATAGACGGCCGATTTCCACCACTATATGATAGACAGCAAGGACTGGTGCAAGGGCAAAATCAAAATGCGAACCCGACAAGTGATTTTGATTGTCAGATACTAGCAAATGAAAATCTCAGGGGATCTTCAAGCATTGCAGTCTGTTGAACACATGAACTGTGAGCCGCATGCGCGTTTTCTTTGGATTTCAGTGGACTCTTTCGAATTTTGAATAGATAGGAGTCGAAATTGGTGTCATGTACATCGTTCAATCCGGCAATGCGAGTGGGAACTTTGACAAGCAAAGTGACGGGGGCGAGTAAGCGGAGATACCGGAGAGGGATCATGTCTTCCTGCCCCACAAGTTGATGGACCAATGTCCAATACCCAAGGGTGTTTGACGCATGGTTTTTACAGAAACAGAAGTTCGGCTTGTTTGCATGAATTTTTCAGTTTTTTCATCAGTTTCTCTCAATCGTTTACGCCAGTATAGTCAGTACTGTACTGTCATCATCATCTTCCCCCACACTATTTCTTATCCAAGTTTTGACCTCCTTCATCGTTAGCGAGTTTTCTCGGGAAAAATTGCTTCAAAATGACACCCGTTTGTTTTCTACTCCAATCTCTGAGAGCACTCAATGTTACTTAAAGATACTTAGCGCTCAATGAAAATATCCATTACAGCCAATGTCGATTGAGGAAATATATCTGCATGGTTCTCCGCAGCTATTACTAGGGTATTTTACCACCGGCAAGGCTTTCAACGAATGATGTTCCTCTCTACTGGGGTAAATGTGGGACTAAGCTTCATAATCATTACCTGTGCCTCTTAAGGACTTTTAGCCCTGTACACTTTTGAGAAATTTGATATGGGCCCTTGTCTTATCTCACAATAATGGTTACCGCGAGGCGAGATCTCCAAATCATTTCTGACGGGTAAACCGTTATTCAAAATGTCTTGGCCGTCTTCTTTCTTATTGCTTCATTCTCTCTTAAATCAAAACTTTCTTTTTCCTTTGGCTTTGGTTTCAGCACATCACATCTTGATAAGCTATTTTCGTCACATTTTCAAGCCATGGACGCCTTTACTCCAGCACAGGCAAGTTCACACACGTTTCAAAGCTTCACACATTCTCAACTAACATGTTTCGCAACACCAGACGACCGAGCTCGTCTCGCGCATCGGTGCCAAAAAAGCCCGTATGAGAATTGACAAAATGTTCATCAACTCTTTCATGGGAGGATGTCTCATTTCTTTTGGATGTGCTCTTTCTCTCTCCACCAATTCTTCCCCATGGTTTCAAACAAATGCTCCAGGTCTTATCCGTACCATCTCTGCGATGGTCTTCCCTGTGGGATTGATCATGGTTGTCCTTACGGGAGCCGATTTGTTCACAAGTTATTGCATGTACAGTGTGGTCGCTTTATTGCACAGACGCTGTAGCTTTTTGGATTTGTTGAAGACTTGGGTTGTCAGTTTCTTCGGAAATTTGGCGGGAGCTTTGTTTTTCATGGCTGTCCTTACTGGTTGTAAGTATTCGTGCTCAACTTTGTTCGGAACCGTAGATTATGGGATGCTAATAGACAATTAGATGGCGGCACATTCGAAACTGGAGCATACAAAGCGGAAGCTCTTTCATTTGCAAAGGGAAAAGCAGTTACCCCAGAATGGCATCAAATTTTCCTCAAGGCAATTATGTGTACGTTTGTCCTCTCCGGTGTAACATTTCATCTCCACACAAACATGAACGATGCTTTAAGAATCTCTACTTACGATATTACACAGGCAATTGGCTCGTCTGTATGGCCGTATTTCTCGCTATCTCGTCCCGCGAAGTTCTCTCCAAAATCGTCGCTATCTGGTTTCCTGTAATGTGCTTCGTCGGTTTGGGAACTGATCACGTTATTGCTAACAGTTCGTATTCCATTTCCTTTTGATGTCCTTGCCATTTCCTTTTTGCGTATAAAATACCGCAGATAGTGCAAATGAAGGGCGCCAAGCATGATTCCCCTGCCAAGTCATTGGCACCAGCCCTACTAGTACAAGCCACTAACGCGTCACCACTCACAGTGTACTTCATTCCTCTCGCCATCTTCCTTGGAGCACCTGCTCCCCTTACAGTAAACTACTATATCTGGAAATCATTGATCCCATCCCTCCTCGGTAACATCGTCGGCGGTGGCGTTTTCTGCGGTGGTGTATACTGGTATCTTTTCCTCGCACATGAAACTGTACCAATCCATTTCGATACTGTCGATGCAAACACCGCAGTTTATGAACAAGGTGGTCCAATTCAAAGACAAGTTACAATTGAGGGAGCAGGAACAGGTTATGGACATGCCCAAAATCCCGAGGTAGTTCCACACTCAGGAAACAACGGAAGAAGTGGGATTGCCAAAGAATTGCATCTCGGGGCAGTCGAGAGTTTAGGGAGAAAAAAGGAGGGGAGTGAGGGAAGCAGTGGAAGTGTTTAATTGAGCACAGTGATGAGACGGTAATTCTGGACGAGCAAAACGAAAACTAGTATGCTGAGGACTGGACTTGAAAAGGAGTTGGATGAATAGGTTGAGATGCGGTGATACCATATATTTTTTGATACGCAGCGGTACGTTTTGGTGATGCGCTGTTGTATAATGATTTGAAAATTCTGCTATTCTGTGTATATTTCACTCTTTTAAAATTAGTATATGTATAATGATATCATAAATTTCTATTTACAATTTGTTGCGAATTCAAGGTGAAATGTTAAAGACAGAATATCCCCCGACCGAACTCATACTTTATGTCATAGTACGGCTTGTCAGTAATAATAATAATAATAGCCAAACATATCAAAAAATCAATATACAATAATCAAAATTATAAGCTGATCATGTTATATATTACAATCTTTCAAATCCTTCAGATCTTTCAAATTTCCTGGAAGGTGGGTATTATACCCTTCTTGGAGTTATCATCTTTTGAAACAAGTAATGAAAAAAGGCCAATTGGAATAACTTGTTCAAATCTCATTGTTCAAATCCCCAAGATTTCGATTTTATAGATATAATAGCTCTGAATCACATCAAACTCACGGAATGGCAAATAATTTGTCAACCAGAATCTCAAAAGCGTTTGTTTAGTATCAATTTTATATTCTTATACCTATATCATTACAGATTGAACGCCACACAACTTGTCCACTTTCCTTTCGCTCTTTTCATATCATATAATCTCGTACATGTTCGTTCCTCTTCGTTCTTTCCTGAAATCTTTGCGATCCAGAATCACAATGTTCCTCTTACATCATATCATTCATGTACACATCCACCATCTATATATCCTACCACCCCATCTGCCAATATTAATAGCTCAAGCTAGCTCCATATTCCATCTAAAACATCATAGCCTGTCGTCTAATCTTCTTCGCCGCCCCGGATGCAGCATTACAAGCCGTCTCTTGCGTTTCACATTGTTCCACCCCACCCGCTAGACTTCCGCTATTAGCTGCAGTCGCACAAGCATTATGTTGTACACTACAGCTTCTTTGAAGCGCTGCTCCTTCACCCACAAATGAATCTCCGTTAACCGAGAAGGGACGATCGCCTGCAGAGGAAACAACTGGAGGAGGTGCTCCACCTAGTGTTCCAGTGAAAGTTTGGACATTTGTTCCTGTGGCGCTAGTTCCAGTAGATACGGCAGCTGCAGCGGATGCAGAGGAGGCGACTGATGCAATTGAGTTTGCTGCTACGGAAGCAATGGAAGCGAGAGACGCCATTGAACCCGTCGCGACAGCGGTGACGGCGGTAATTGTACTTGTCACTGCGGCGGCGCATTCGCTACCTGTAGAGTTTGAAGTTGAGTTACTCGATGAGATAGAAGCGGTGGCAGCGATAGAAGTGGAATTTGCCGAAACTCCTGCAACAGCTGCGGTGATTTCATCGGCAGTGGCATCGTTCACGATAAGATTTTGTGTAAAAATACAACCAGGTGAATCAGCTTCGTCGTCACAGGTGTTACCAGCAGCGGTTGGATCACCAATAGTTCCTGGCGCAAATGTACCCGAAAGAAGAGCTTCTTGAGGATCTGCCCCAATAGAAGCAAGTTGTTTAGCGAGTGAAAGGACGACAGCTTTATTGGTAGCGGCAGCGTTTGGGGAGGCTGGATCTTGATGTTGCTGAACGGCTTGAATCTCGGGATTGACAGCAGTTTCGTTGCAAATGACAGATGCAACACCAACTGATGCTGTGTTTCTTTCAAGTGCTGCATACATCAATGCATCAGCCATACCGGTTACATTATTAGCAGCTTTTGCATTGGTGAAAGCTTGGTCTGCGGTAGCTTGGTGAAGACAATCAGGATTGGCAATTGTTCCAGCTCCAGTCTTAGCAGCAGCATTACCCAAAAGGCCAAAGACTGGATCTTGGATCTTGTTTGGATTGTTGATGTTTAGATTGACACGAACACCATCGAGGAATCGATTGTGGGAATGTTCTTGAGGAACCTCACGCCCTCTTAGCATTCGCTTTGGTATCGTCGGAAGAGTGAATGTGTTCTTTGGTTCCGCGACGGGAGCAGCAGATACAAAGCCGAGAACAGCGATCAAAAGGGTTGCGGTTTCGTACTTCATGGTGATGATATTGGTGATGTAAGTTGATCGCGATGAAAAATTTTAATTTGTAGAAGGATAGCAATAGACTAAAGTAAGTGTAAAAGGAAGGACCGGCCTATGTTGAATGTAAAGTTATTGTAAAAGTTAAGATTTAAAGAATGTAAAAGAGTTAAAGTTCTCAGAACTGAACAAGAGAATGTAGATAGTCGAAAGAAAGGCTGCGAAGGTGATGAGGAAAAAATGGCATTCACTTTGCGACTTGGTAGATCTTATATCTTGGATCAGTAACATGTCAGTCCCTCAATAAGATCTAGATAACGAGGACGAGGTCGCATACTTCCTCCCTGTTACCCTAAGTTTCCACACTTGTGAATTCTGAAATAATCCGTAGACCATACAGGGAGAAGAACATGGTCAAGGATTTAACTTTCATCTGATGAATCCTGCTTGTTGAAGCAAGCGCTACGAAGGCAGCTTTGCGTACTGAACTAGTACGTTATGGTATATCGAATGTAGTCTGAAGTCTAGAAGATGTATCGGTGGCTGTCCGGACTGGCCATGGTACGTGGGATGAAGTTGGTTCTTGCATGGTAAATAGCTCCCTTGACACTCAGGGTTTTCCACTAACAGTCTCAGGTGATTATACGGGGTCATTCAACGGCCATTTTGACAGCCATTTAGGGTTCAGATCTGACATATCTGAAGAAGATGAGATGAATAATGACAGGACATTCGCGTCAAGTCAACCGCTATCGAAAGCTGGGACATGGAAAGCATGATATTCCTCTAACCGTCTCATCCCATCAAGATATCAAGCTTCAAGAAACATTCGTGATTGGACAGATTGATATGATGGCGTTGATATGGGACAAGGCATGTCGCAGGTGTTAGATCTGATTCCAAGCGATGTCTCCAAACCCTGTCTGGGGTAATCGCACGTGACCTTCATCAATCTTTTTGAAAGCCTTCACACTATGCCTTGCATTTTATCTGATATAACGATGTCGCAGAGTTCAGATGCAACTGGTACTGAAACTCGTTCGCGTCTATCTTAGGTTCTAATATGGGTAGGGCAGTACCCGTAATCTATCTGAAGTATTTATTGATGGCACATCCATATCTTTAGTATGTACACCAGTTTGGTAACCATCCCTTCTTTACCTGCATCGTTACTAACAAGCGGGAAGATAGAGTTAAATCGATTACAATCTAATCTTTGTGTCAATCTGGATGATGATGTCTCACTCATGAGCTAGGGTCTAGTGGGGATATTGACGATTTCAATGTCTCACATCAGATCGATGTTTTCAATGTCTCACGTCAGATCGATGTTTGTTAGGCAGTGGACGACGGTCAAAAATCAAAGATGAACCTTTTAACATTGCATGAACCATCAAGGGACCTTGGGTTATATATCGGATGATTGCAAAAGTATGGTATAACAACTGTCAACGAGTGTAACATCTCGTCCCATCTTCGTTTTCAACCCGTTTGAATAACGAATAGCCCTACAAAATTTGTGCCGACCATTATGTATATTCTTGGCAACGAAATCACGATCAAGAGCTTGATTGAGGATCGGAGAGAAAAGCTTGATGCCCCTCGCGATTAGGAGGAATAGCCGAACACCTGCCTTCGGAGTTTGGAAGGATTTCTTCTCTAAACTGCAAAATTCCAAGTCTGATAATCAAGCAATCTATAGTCTCTTGTTCGATCGGTCGAGTTTCCAGGAAAAATAACCTAACGTCCTCTGGAGTCGTATCGAGTACGACGTTGAAGTCATGCGGGATTCTCCTATATACCTAGGTACCCAAATCCAATAATTTTGATGTCAATGACAATGACAAAGCGATTCATTCGATTGATGACAATTGTTCATCGCCGAACCACTTATTAACCGCTATGGTTCGATGACATACCATACTTCATGGACCAAACAAAGGTCAAGGATTACTCGCACGTCCGTCACATTCACATCAATTATAGTGACATCATTGATAATTGCATCTTTCTGATGAGATTTCGATCTCTTCAATATTGAGATTCTACAACACTTGTAATATTGTAGATTGTTTATTAGCTTACATAAGTATCGCATTGGGGAAGTTCTCCTCATAATGCCTGTCAAGCATGATCGATCATGTTGCATTTCCTTCTAGACTGTGAAGTTTTGATATGGATCTAGCCATTTTCAGGAGGCAATGTGAGATTTTTGTATTCTTGATTTTGGGCGACAATAGTAAACTCCTTTGAATATTCCAACCGTATTATTATCAGAAACCTCCATATCTTTTCAACATCAATATCCCGCATCCGACACTCGTTTTGGATCAGATATCCAAGATTCCTGAATACCAAAACCCAAAATGGCGAATGATGATGAGGAGCAAGATACTCGTCCGGTGGGATTCTGGCATCGTGATTTAAACGCGACGAGGAAATACGTTGTTAAGAAATGGATTATTACGAGTATGTTTCTTCTAGTTTGGGGCCTTTGAGTGTCTTTGTTGGATGCCTAGAAGTTGGGTATGCGGGTGTTCGATTGCTGGATTGTAGTTCAATCACATGAGAATTCAGGATGGATAGATAGATGGCTTTGGTTATTTAAAGGTCTTCATGAAGATACGGGCGGATGGTTGCGTCTTCTTCACTTCACCCTGCTGTAGATTAGTGTCTAATATCTCTCTCTCTCTCTCTGTCTTTTGGCAATATGTTATCTGAAACCCTCTCTCCCTCTTACTAACACTATTCAGCCTTCATCCTCTCCATAGCAATCCTATCCATTCTTTCTATCTACTGGAGCGTCCTCTTCCACGTCGAGAAAAACCTCTCATCGCTAGTAGTCTGGGTAGTAGATTTCGATGCACAAGTTGCACCTTACAC